AATCTAATATTTCAAATAGCTATTTATTTTATATTAATAAATAATCTAGAAATACATTATCTCGTAATAATAATATCTACTATAGTCTTTAGTTTTTAAATTATATAAACAAAGGCAATTATCGCCGCGTCGTTGCAGACGCGGGCTCGTTAGCGCGACACGTGGCGCCTCCTGGTGGCAGCGCGTTGACGCGATGTTATTAGGAAATTCATTTATTATTATTTCGTATTCGAGTTGACTGCTTTAGTTTTGTTTTTCTTAAATTAAATGTTGGAACCTTTTCACCAAACTTTACTTTATAAAATCTATATAACTTCTTCAATCCAATCGTCTCTATTGAAAGTAATTTTTAGCATTTTACTCGCCATTGTTCAAAAGTTTCTGCGCGGATTAAAAAAAACTTAATTAGTAGCCTTAAGTAAACTTAAGTATGTGTTCTTCCAGACTATGTTCTACATTTATGCCAAATTAAGATTTTCTTACTAATATTATAAATGCGAATATTGAGATGGATGGATGGATATTTGTTTGAAAATATATCCTGAACGGCTAAACAGATCTTGATGAAATTTGGCATACATATAGAACATAGTCTGGAAGAATACATAGGCTACTAATTGTTGTATTCAGCGCGGGCAGAGTCGCGGGCGACAGCTAGTATAAAATAAAAGGCGAAACTACTTTCCCAAGCCGCGGGGTGAATTATAATAATGCCGCGTGACATATTGTGTGTTATAAAGGGCGTATGATGTGCACAGGACCACCGCGGCGATCACACACATCCCCAAAATATACAATTAGTGCTGTATTTTGTACGTTAAATGTAAAAACATTTGAATAAATGGTAAATAAGACAGTTTTTTGTACCCATGCGTATGAATCAAGTGTCGAAAAGGTTGAACGATTTGAAACTCAAGGCAAAACTTAAAATTTACAAAGTTAAACATGAAAATTCACCTTCAGCGTCATCTGACGGAACTATTTTTTTTATTCTGTTCAATAGTAGATGTCGTTAATTTTACTGCCATCTTTTGTCTAATAGAACAAGCAGGAGTTTTCTTAACTTATATACTTCCTGTCATCAGATGGCGCCATACATTTCGTTTTTTGTCCAATAGATGGCTTTTAATTAAACTTTAAGATATTTTTCAAATCTCAAAAATTACAAATTTGCTCGGAACAATTATTATATCATCCGACATACATACGTCAGGATTATTCAAAATTTGGTTATAACATAACTAAGGGAATAAAACCAATTAAAATATCTTAAATATATATATTTATACTCTTAACTCTAAAACCTTAAGACAATTTTTTAATATTAGAACGCCAATCTCTTCATAAGTAGGTACATGTGTTGATCAACTTCAAAGCCGTGCAAATTGTTAGCATCTCCTTGCAAACGCATCAGTAGACCTCCAAATGAGACATATGCAGCTAACCTTGATGCTGGCTCCATTGCTGCTTCGTCACCTTCTATCCTGAACGTTAAATGTTAATTTACAGTACAGTACAAGTTGCCAGCAAATCCAGTCATGCAAAATTAACAAAAAATTGTAGCCCATGTGCATCAGTTCAGCCATTCTAGAGGTATCTCTTAATAAACATCCATCTATCCAAACTTTTGCTATTATAATATTAATGCAACATTTATGTATGGTTTGTAAAGTCAGAATTATGTCCTTATTTAAGTTTGAGTTGGTTTCTGTTTCATGTTTTTTGCGAAGCATTTCTTATACAAGTTTAAAGCAAATATTACAATTAAATTGGGTCTATATAACAAATAAAAATAATAAACAACTAACCTATAAACTTTTCCTGACATAACGTACTCAAAACTGTCAGCCCTGTTCCCCTCCGTTTCTAAAGGATTCCATTCTCCTCCATCAGGATAACCGTTCTCCCTTAGTGTCGTGGCTAATACTAATCTAAACTTATCTCCCAATTCCATGGGATAAATCCATGAATTTATATCCAATATTAAATCCATTTTAAATGATTCAGATTCGCAATGTAATCGGCTAACTCGATCGAATTTCTTTCCCTCTGGATCCATGTCTTTCACATTAAATATATCTTCAAATAATACGCCTGCCATAATTTTTGATTAAATTTATGTATTCTGTTCGTTTAACTTAAAATATTGGATCTTACTAATATTATAATTATTAATAACAATTAAACAACACCACGCCGCTCTTTTTCCTTTTGACATTGACAATGACAGTGATGGATAAGGGACGCACGTTTTGGCGTTAACGAAAATCTATGGTGGAATAAAACGTGAATCGATTTTCACGATTTCCAGAAACATCAATGCATTGTACAGTGTTTTTACCGCATAGCTAAATTATAAAAGTATCCAGTGATATCGTAAAAAACTCTCGGTATCATTATAATTACGAAGTTTGAAGTTTTCAAGATTTTTTGATCGCTTCGATTTCGATTCACAACCATAAACAAAACTCGATTTTTCAACAAAGTGATGTCAGCACATCCCTTCAGCAAAACGCAAACGAACGACATCGTGAATCTAACCTATTTAATCGGCACGTGTGTTATATTGGAACGATAAATGTGTATTAAAAAGTTATTATTTTAGTTTCACATCACATATTGTGTTATTTGAAAATAATCAACAATGACGGAAGTTCTGCAACCGGGTACCGAAGTGTTTTCTGAGAAGAAAAAGAAGAAAAGCAAGGAGCAAGTGACGCTGGGCGCGTTTCAAAAGTTAGGCGATTTTAAAATTGAACCTTCGGAATGTGTAACCAAATTAGATACGGCGTATTGGCCTTTATTACTGAAGAACTTCGATAGACTTAACGTACGTACTAATCATTACACGCCTTTGCCTTTCGGTCATTCCCCATTGAAGCGTCCTATTGCTGATTATGTTAAGTCTGGATTTATTAACGTGGACAAGCCGAGTAACCCGAGTTCTCATGAAGTTGTGTCATGGATTAAACGTATTCTTAAAGTTGAGAAGACTGGACACAGCGGCACACTCGATCCCAAAGTAACTGGTTGCTTGATCGTATGTGTTGATAGAGCCACGAGGTTGGTTAAATCTCAACAAAACGCCGGTAAGGAGTATGTAGCCGTGTTCAGCCTGCATTCCGCGGTGGAAAGCATAAAAAAAGTAACACAAGGCCTTGAGAAACTCCGCGGTGCTTTATTCCAGCGTCCTCCCCTTATATCAGCAGTTAAACGTCAACTCCGTGTCAGATCTGTGTATGACAGTAAACTACTAGACTTCGATGAGGAGAAGAACATTGGTGTATTCTGGGTTAGTTGTGAAGCTGGCTCTTATATTCGTACAATGTGTGTACACTTGGGTCTTATGCTTGGTGTTGGTGGACAAATGATAGAATTACGTAGAGTACGTTCCGGTATTCAAGGTGAGAAAGAAGGCATGGTAACAATGCATGATATATTAGACGCACAATGGGCATATGAAAATCATAAAGATGAAAGTTATCTACGTCGAGTTATCAAACCTCTGGAAGGTTTGTTAGTCGCACATAAGAGAATATTCATAAAAGACAGTGCGGTGAACGCTGTGTGCTATGGTGCTAAAGTCCTCTTACCTGGTGTATTAAGATATGAAGATGGTATAGAAATTGATCAAGAGATTGTTATCGTAACTACCAAAGGTGAAGCGGTGGCATTAGCTGTTGCTCTTATGACCACAGCGACTATGGCCTCCTGTGACCATGGTGTAGTTGCCAAATTAAAACGGGTAATCATGGAAAGAGATACGTATCCGAGAAAATGGGGATTAGGACCAAAAGCTTCTCAGAAGAAGCAGTTAATCCAGCTGGGCAAATTGGATAAATACGGTAAACCAAATGAGAACACACCATCGGAATGGCTCAACAGTTACGTAGACTTCAAAGGCAAGAAAGCAGAAGATAAAGAAGAAAATGGTGACAATGATATGGAAGTGGACAGCAGGAAACGTACAGCTAGTACAGCGAATGCTGATGATCCTGATAATTCAGTAGAAGCAAAGGCGGAGAAGAAGAAGAAAAAGAAAAAGCGTGATCAAGAAGAGAATGAGGCTGATACAACAGTAGAGGCAGCGGCAGAAGAACAAACAGCTGATGATTCTGTACGTAAAGAGAAGAAGAAGAAAAAGAAGAAGGATAAAGACAATGAAAGACAAGAAGAATAAATAAGTGACATGAACAGTTTTTGAATTTGGAACATACTAGTTTTTTTTTAGGTGTTAAGAACATTGATAGCTTAAAACTGGAAGAGCATTACTGCCATTATTAATGTTTATTTTCAAATACTAATGTTCAACAAATATTTTTAAATGTTCCCACTAAAATTTTAAAGTAACTACATTAAAATTGCTATGTATTTCTCAGTTAAACAATAAATAGCTAAATATTGCTAGATATGCCTTCAACACATAACAATTCTCTGTTCTTCAATTATCCAGTTATTTCCAGCCATTACCAAGGTCTATGGTTGCTTTATGTTTTAAGATAAATGTGCATTTTGATAACCAAATATTTGGTGTCACTTGTCCAGTATGTTTAAGTATTTTTTTATTAATCTGCCCTAATTTTTAAATGTTACGGGTTCTTACATTCAGCCACTTTCAATTGATAAGTTTAGTTTTTAAATGCGAAGAATCAGCCCATTTTTTGTTTATAAAATTAAATATAAATTAGGTTATAAGAGAATTTTTTATAGATATATAAATGTGAAATAATTGTAAGGAAATGTTTATAAACATTATAATTTCATGAAAAAATAACAATTGTTTGATTTCTCACATAATTTCCTATATAAAATAAAGTTCTTCATATAACGGTGAAGGATGGCTTTTTTCTATGGCGATGACTAAATATTTGCACAATAAGATAAATGGCGCGAAAATGTAAAAATCGATATTTTTAATATTATTATAATTACTTGCATTATTTAATTTTGAAAATGTTTTTTTTTTTTACAAATCAAATCTTAGAAGCTGGTAACCCTATTCAAACGTCAAAGTATCGCTAAAATGTCAATAAGCTAAAAGTTTTGTTATGATTATAATTTTAACGCTTTATGTAATAAAATCTAAATAAATAACACTAAAATGTCTTTACATTCCACGTTAAATGATTCAAATTTATATACTAACGAATATTTCCAACAAGAAGATGTCTGTAGGCTATGCTGGAGTAAACAAGCCAAAAGAGAAATTATTACAAACAATTTAGAAGATATATCTATTATTAAGAATCAGTTAATAGATAAAATACTTTATTGTTTAAATATAGATATAACAGAACTAAACTATCCGAATAGAGTGTGTGAAAACTGTATCGATTTATTAGATGAATTTTACGAATATAAAATCTTTTGTAGCGAAGCTGATAGAAAGCTACGTACGATTTTAGCAGACAAATCAAATATTGATAAAACAGAAGAAACTTGTACCGTTAAATTAGAGAACAATACAATTGAATTTGAAAACTCTGAATATTTAAACACAAATTTTAATGATTTGAAGAACACTGATTTGGAAACAGACACATTACCAAAACACGTGAAAGATAAAAAAACGAAAAAAAAATCTAGTTACAAGCCTGTACGTACATTAACTTACTGTAATATCTGTAGAATTGAATATAACAGTAAAGAAAGTATTATGGAACATAATTCAACATATCATGGTATTGAAAATGGTTTTTACAAGTGTTTTGGCTGTGAGAAGAAATTTAAAAATAGAAATTCTAGATTAAGCCATGAGATACACTTCTGTAAAGGTTTAAAAGATGGCTATCAATGTAATATTTGTAATAAATATCTACCAAATCGTAGAACATATGAAAACCATATGCGGGCACATCGAGACAACATTGAAATGGAGATATCTGATGATATATTTAAGTGTTTCAAATGTTACAAATTGTTTAACACAAAAACAAGTTTGAAGAAACATATGGAAGTGCATAACACAGAGAAAAAGAATTTTGTTTGTGAGGTAAGTTAAGTTTTTAAGCACATTTTTGCACAATCCATTTTAAAAAGCAGTATAAGCATCCAACAATTAGCCATTAGTTTCAACCCCAAGTATATCTTTTTCAAGAGTAGAGAGAGTAAGTAGAAATTAAGTAAGTACTAATCTTCATATAGTCCTATTCAAATAAGTCTGCAGCTCAAAATCAAAAACAAGCAACTCCCCGCCCTCTCCCTCTACACCTAATATAGAATTCTGCGCAGCGTCACAAAGTTAAGAGCCACCAAGATATCTGAAAACTTATGTACCATTTTTCAACCAGATCACCAATTAACATGAGGTAGTAACAAGGGTAAATACTTCTATTTTATTACAAATCTAGCTGTCGCCCGCGACTTCTTCCGCGCGGAATAAAAAGAAAACTTAAAGAGTAGCCTATGTGTATTCCAGGCTATGTTTTGCATCTGTACCAAATTTCATCAAGATCCATCAATCCAATCCAATACATATCCATCCATCTAAATTAAACACAATTTGTAATCATCAGGTCACTATAGGTCGAAGTGAGGTAACTAGTCCATAGTCAATGCTGTGCGGGTTGGTATAACCCAATTATTTAATAGTGCAAATTTTACTAATAACTTCCAGAGTTGTGGTCGTATCTTTACTCGACGGGACTATCTAAACAAACACAATCTGACACACACAGGAGTCAAACAACATGTTTGTTCTCACTGCGGCTTCCGGACTACACAGAAGTCTGCCCTTACAGTACATATAAGGTATGAAAGTGTTTAAACTAAACAAATTAATTTATAAGTCAAATTCAACCTTTAAGAATTAAAAATACTAAGATAAATAGATTTTTTTGCCAGAGGAGGAGACACAGAAAGAGAATAAGTGCCCTTATTATGTGTAGCCTTATAACCCTTCCTGTCCTTATAAGAATGGGAAGGGAAAGAGGACTAAGCTTCCCGCCACCAAATATGCCACCAGCTAAAAGCATTGTGTCAACTGTATGTCTTTTAGCGGCATAGAGGAAATAAGGTGTGCCATACTATGGCGGCATGGAAATCTATAATCTCAGCTTACCCTCTTACCACTAGCTTATTGTGATTTAGGAAGCATACTGGCGAGCGCCCATATGTATGTGATGTGTGCCCTCAACGCTGCGTTTCCAGTTCTAATCTACGAGCCCACCGCCGCCGACATCTTGGTCTCAAGAACTACGAGGTGATTAACCAACCATAGATAAACGAACCATAGAGCCTACGCCAAATTAAGTAAACAAATATTAAATTCTGTGATGGCTGTGCTATTTCACTTTATTAGTTATTTTTTAAAAATTATAAGATAATTTGATGTCAGAGAAATAGTATTTTTGAGTAAATATTTTCATATTTACAAGTTGAGTTTTGATGATGAACTGTCACAAAATATAATCATCATCAGCTCACTATATGTCCCCATCGAGGGGCTCGGAGCCTACCCTAGTTAAGGGTGATTAGGCCATAGTCAACCACGCTGGCCAAGTGCGGGTTGGTTGACTTCACACAAATCTTTGAATTTCTTCTCAGATATGTGAAGGTTGCATCACGATGTTTTCCTTCACCGTAAGAACGTCGGATAAATGTACATATGTAAATCGGAAACCAAAAAACACATTGGTACATGGCGGGATTCGAACCCAGGACCTGCAGATTGCAAGTCAAGTGCTTGACCACTGAGCCACCGACGCTCCTAGTCACAAAATATACTGTAATAAAATTCAGTGTTATTCCTAAAGTTTGCCCCCTATATTGCACTAGCAGCGTGAGTGTAGGGTGAGGTGGGGCGACCGCCCAGGGCGTCGACCATAAGTGGGCCCAAAGGTGTCAAAAATGTCGCCCTGGGCGGCGGAACTCTACCCTGGTTAATTTTACTTTTTTTATGTACTCAGTGTAAAATATGCAGTAAGAAGTTTGGTTACAAGATAAGTTTGGACGACCACGTGGCATCAGCACACGAGCGTTCACAAAACCACACCTGCGGTCAGTGTGGTGCTGCGTATACCAGACAAAGTGGACTTCGTCGCCATGTTATGACCAAACATACTAAAGTTAGTTTGAGTACAGATTTACTCAAACTAAATGAAAAGATTGAAGAAAAAGATGATAATCCGAAATATGAAAAGACACAACTTGCATTCATTGTATAAGACTGAATAAAAATGACAATTTTTAGGTTGTTTTTTTTTTTACCTATTAAAATGTTTAACAGTGGTAGAGCGAGCTTTAACATCTTCGCACGAATTGTCCCGGCTCGTCCGGTGAAATACCACCACCACAGAAGACAGGCGTCAAGTGGAAGTAATTCCGCGTTTCGTCTGATGAGTGTGCGTCCGGAGGCCTAATTTAGTCCTTTTTCCCTTCCCACCCTTTTTCTTATAAGGAAATGATGGGAAGTGGACTTTCCGGATGAAAGGATGCATGGGAAGGAAAAATATTTTCTTTCTGTGCATCCTCTCCTCCGTCGATTAAAGGTAGGCAACGCATATGCGATTGCGTATGTCTATGGGCAACGGTCACTTCGCCGCTCGCTCGTTTGCCACCTTATGATATAAAAAATAATGCCATGTCGATTTAGTTGAAGATAATAAATTTTACTAATATTATAAATGCGAATGTTTGGATTAGATGGATGTTTGTTTGAAGGTATCTCCAGAACGGCTGAATGGATCTTGATGCAATTTGACATACATATAGAGCAGTGGTTCCCAAACTTATTTTGTCTACTGCCCACTTTGAGAAAAATATTTTTAGCGCTTCCACATTTTCCTATATTTAAAAACCACTATCAAATTAAATGAATTAATTATTGTGACCTATATATGTATATTAACGGAGAATTCTGAACGAAACTTTTACTATAACCCGCATCTTGACACCTGCAGCGCCCACAAGCGGACGTTATCGCCCACTTTGGAAAAGACTGATATAGGGCATAGTCTGGACAAACACATGGAATAACCATGCGATGAATATTTAAATTCATAACATATATAATATGGAGTTATAATTTTATTTTGTACAGGCGATTAAAATAGTTATTTAGATGCGTATTTACTTTTTATTTTTTAAAAAAATGTAAAGATTAATTGGATTAGTTTGGATTTTTAAATTTAAATATAGTACTTACATAAAGTTTAGACGTTTAGAAATATCATAATTGGAAGAAAATCATAGGCACCATGAGATTTTGTAAATTAATTTTATTACGAAAAATACAGCTTAATTTACAAAAGTAACAAACGGCTTTTATTTACCTGAATTAAATAATACCAATGAATATACGAAAGTATTCAAATCCACTTGGAATGTAATAAACACTAAAATAATCCAAATAACCATACCAATAAATATTTAAACTTTTTTTGTAGTTCGTACATAAACTTATGCTTTAAATTATTCATTTTTTATCCAATTTAAAATAAGGCAAAGGTTATCGAAAACTTTCTGCCACAAATGTCAAAGTTTCGATTTATTCTCCAATAGGAATTTAGAAATGTCATCCGCCATACATCCGGGGTCATTTAAATGTACATCATGGCCTCCGGGTACGGTTTTATATTTGAAATTTTTATTAGGCCATGCGGAAGGATCTCTTAAAAACGGTACATCATCGTATATGCCCAATTTGATCATGTTCTCAGCTAATATGGCGAAGGTCGGCGTAGTCGGCGCTGTGTAGATTTTCTTTAAAAATTCACTTGGAAATGGTAAGAGGGTCACATGCTTCATACGTTGATCGTAAGTGAATCTGAAATTAATGGGTTTATTATATTAATTACAGATAAAATAAAAAAAAACAGATGAAGGGAATACTTAGGAAGGGAAAATATTCTCTTTCTGTGCATCCCCTCCTTCGATTAAAGCTCTACAATTGCTGATGTCTATGGACAACGATCGCTTCGCTATTTCAGCGATTCCCGCGTCCGCTTGCTTGTTTGCCGCTTTGTTATATTAAAAAAAAGTGTTTCTAACAGGTACTCTATTTTAAATGTCAATTAAATCTGAGAACTAAGGTTAGAATTGCTATGTGGTTAGTGTCTTAGCGTTTGCTACTAGAAATTTTTGCTCTTACTAATATTATAAATGCGAATGTTTAGATGTATGTTAAGCTATCACAAGAACGACTCAACGAATCTCGCTGAAATTTGTCATAGATGTAGAACATAGTCGGGAAGAAAACATAGGCTACTAATTAATATTTAAAGCTTTAAAAATACGCAATACCTATACAAGCCATCTCCAGCTGGTTCAATCATTCTCTCTAGTTGGTGTTTCAGTGCTTCGTCAGTCAAACCTTGAACATTTTGCACCAATTCTTTTATCTGTAATGTTAAAAAAAACTTTGGAATAACATTTACTGTAACAACGTTCCTGGCTTTTATTAATCTTTTGTATTATAAATATTTAGATGGATGTTTGTTAGAAGGTATATCCAGAACGGCTGCATGGATCTCGCTGATATTTGGCATAGATGTTGAACATAATTAGTATTGTAATTCATCATCATCATCAACCTGCCCTTATCCCTATCGAGGGTCGGCACAGTATGTACTACTCCTCCATACATCTCTATCAGCCGTCATATCCGAGTCTACCCCCTTCTTACGCATATCCTCTTTCACACAGTCATTCCATACTTTTTTTGGTCTTCCTCTACCTTTGTAGCCATCCACATTCAATCTCATTACTTTTTGTACAACATGTCCAAACCACGCTAATCTTTTACTCCTCAATTTCTCGATCACCGGCGCTAATTTCAAACTCCCTCTAACACACACATTATGTAATTGTTCGTCTGAATGACGGCCATGTTTTTTCTGACAATCGAGTAATCGTGAAGACAATGTAAGAACGGTGTTTTTGAAAAAGTTAATGTTTACAATTCCAAAAGAACACATAGACTACTAATTAAGTTTAATTTCGCGTGAACGGACAGTTAATTCTTTGCATTTCAATTAATTTAACGCATAGTAGACTAAGGTCTCATTAAATTTTATTTCACTATTGTGTAAAATTACATGATAATTTAAGGTTATGTGTGAAAATGTGTTTTGCCGGAAATATTATGGAATATAATAGCTACAGTCATATGCATTTTGTCTATGATAACCATTACGGCCATTTAAGGATTTATTTTGAAAGTTTCAATGGTTTATCTTATATCTTTAAATGAGCAATTCTTGTATATATATAATTGGAATCTCGGAATCGGCTCGGCTCCAACGATTTTCATAAAATTTAGTATATAGAGGGTTTCGGGGGCGATAAATCGATCTAGCTAGGAATCATTTTTAGAAAATGTCATTTTATTCGTGTTTTATCGATAATCAACTTAAACATAAACTTAACTTTTTTCTATCGGTAACATCGAAAAATATTATTCATATTTCATCATTTTATTAGTAATTCATACTTAAATATAATTTCCAAAAAACACAATTAAAAAAAAATACCGAGCAAAGCTCATCCACGTACTTAATTTTAATTTTAACTAAACGTAAATAGCAGCAACAGTTTGTTTTTACAACAAGCTAGTTAAAAAAATCCTATTTCAACCAAATATAGTCTTAATCTTATCTTTAACGGAAATATATACAGTTAATTTACATATTAGTTAAATTAATACTCTTAAAATAATATGACCTTGAATTACTACTAAATGTCTTATAATAATTGCACGCTTAACTTTGTAATAAACATATTTTGTCTAACGCTTTTTGTTATTTTTTTTATGACTGCAGCCAATGTTTGCCTTGAGGAGGTATTTATAGCTTCACCGGGCTTGAGGTGGCCGAGCGCAGATGGCACTTAGTCTATACCTTTTTTCCAGAAAGGAATGCTTTACGCATACTCCGCGCCCCGGGGGTGGGGACGCGGTAGTTATTTGGGATTCTCCTCCATAGCGGAGGCATACCCACTAAACCTCTCTGTTCCTCCAACGCATCGGGACGGGACCACGGGCTCGCTTTCGCTCTCGTCCGCGGTCCCCGTCTGCGCCAGCTACCGAGGCAGCTCCCTCTCGGGGGGAGGCAGCCCTCAGTCGCCGGTGATGGACTCCCTCGTGTCCATCAGCAGACTTAGTCTAAACCTCGTTTAAGAGTAACTAAGCTCGAGGGCTCCCTCAGGAACCTCGACTCGGGCCGTTACTTCGTTATTATTACTGGATTGGGAGGCCGCCGAGCTCTAAGGTCGCTTCGGTGGACGCTCCATGGAGTGACGCGACTCAAGGGCCCCCGAGAGGGGATCACTGCTTGGGCTGTCACTCAATATGCGTTTATTCCGATTCAAGGATGCCCGAGAGGGCCGAACCTCGGCTTGATACCAATCAACCATGCTGTTGTCTGTTTATAATATTGTTAAAAGTCGCGTTAAAATTAGTCCAGCCGTTTTGAAGATTACTTGGAACAAATGCGTTTGTTTGTGTTTTTTTTGTTATATGGAAACAAATGCATCATTTGCATGTAATTTGAACATTTTTATTCTTACTAATATTATAAATGCGAAAGTTTAGATCAGTCTTTCCCAAAGTGTGCGATAACGCCCCCTTGTGGGCGCTGCAGGTCTCAAGTTGCGGGTTATAGTAAAAGTTTCCTTTACAATTCTCCGTTAATATACATATATAGGTCACAATAATTAATAAATTTAATTTGAAGTTATAGTGGTTTTTAAATATGTGAAAATATGGGGGCGCTAAAAAAATATGTATTCTCAAAGTGGACAGTAGACAAAATAAGTTTGGGAACCACTGGTTTAGATGGTAGATGTTTGTTACAAGGTATCTCCAGAACGGCTGCTGATCTCGATGAAATTTGCAATAGTTGTAGAACATAGTCTGGATGAACACATAGGCTACTAATTAAGTTTCATAATTCCGCGCGTAAGGAGTCGCGTGACAGCTACTTGATAATAAAAGCAAACACTCTAACTGTGTATAAATGATGTTTTAAATAAAAAATAAAATACCTTTTCCAATGTATATTTTGGTGCAGTTTCAACGCCAGCATTGTGTTTCTTATAACTATCCTCATTGTAATAATTTCCATAATAATAATGATACCAATCGCCTATAGGCATAGCTGCGTCCGTATTGTAAGCTGGTATAGGATCTAATTCCACCATTTTAGTCACAAGTCCAGGGTACGCGATGTTGAAATATTTACCTATAAAAAAAACATTATTAATTGAACCAAAATACAAGACTGACTATACCCCTATGATAGGTGAACACTGATAAATCAAGCCTGTCATCATCAGCCCACTATACATCCTTACTGAGGAACTCGAAGTCTACCTTAAGTGACTAGGCCATAGTCAACAACGCTGACCTAAAGTAGGTTGACTTCACACATATCTTTTAATTTGCAGATATGTGCAACATCACGATGTTTTCCTTCACCGTAACAACGTCGAACACGGATCAACGTCGGATACGAACCCAGGACTTGCACACAAGTCAAGTGCTTAACCCATGAGCCACCAGCACCCTACGCCCTGTTGATGTTACTGACAGTTCATTAAAGCTTTATTCTCAGTTCGAATCTAACCTACGTTATCAACGAAAATCAAGTAGGCACAAAATATGGCGATTCAAAACCTGTCCATGTATAGACGTTAGTAGAATCATTCCTCAAAATTGGTTAGTCTAGCTACTGGAGGTTTTCCTATAGTCGTGCAACTCAGTTACAGGGACCCTCTTGGAGTTGCGTTCCATTAGATGTCCCAGGTACCCATATAGTCGCACTCAAGGTTAACAAACAAGGCGGTTTTAGTGAGAGTCTTATATAGCACGATTCTTCGCTCAAAATGCACGATTTTCCCGCCGACATAAGAAAAAGGCTACTGGAGATCACAATGGATCTTACGTACCCACAAATATAACAACATTTAAAGTAACAAACAAGAGAAGATTATCTCTTACAATCGGGTAATAAAAAATAGTAATCAATTTTTAAAAAAAAATGTTGCTAGATAAAAAAAATTACTTACCAATAGCTGCTCCCAAAGAATGGCCGATATAAATGAATTTTTTCCACTCGTAATATTCGACAACTGTTAGAACTGACGGGACTAAATCTTGGACAGAAAATCTCACACCAAGAGGGAGAGTGTCCGATGATCCGTTCCCGGGCAAATCCAAAGCCACGTAGAAAAAGCTATTCGGTAGCCTTAACACTAGTGGTCTGAATGCTGTACTAGGTTCCATTCTACCAGGACAGAGTAATACTGGTGGATGTAATGGATCTCCCCATGTTATTGCTGAAAGAAATTTATTTTTAAGCCTACATTAATTTAAATGGTCAATTTGACCAATTGATATACTTAAGTATACTAAGATGGCATTTTATCAATGTTGATTTGTATTGACTTTTATATTTACACTAGCAGTTGCACATGACTTCATACGAGTTGTAATTTTTCAGTAGTTCTGAAGATAAATGTAGAAGATAAAGTGCCAATAACCTTAAGGTTACTAGTCCGGACTGATCCCGTCGTGGTTTCGAATCTCACTATTTGGCACAAACCTATAGCCTGCTTTTAATAATAATAGAAGTAAAATAATTAAAATCTGTTAATATAATAATATAATACCAGTTAGATTTCCCCATGTCGCTTTTATATTTACAGCCTTTTCCGTTTTCTCGAGTGATTTCATTGCACTAAAATTAGAAAAAAAATATTTTATGATTTTATTCATAAGCGTCGTTGTTGCGAAACTGAACACTGGCCACCTTATTTATACACCGAATTAAAAATATAATAAAAAAAAAACAACTTTATTAATTCATTACAAGGTTAGGTTTTTTACCTAACGTCTGGAAACTGAATATTGGTAATTTATGACGCGCTTGTGGAATATGTTAATTTTATTATCGTATTACGTAAATATGAAACAAATTGTTGCTTTTATAAATTTGATTATTTTGATAAATATGTGCTTCAATTACACATACAAATAATTTTTATGACACAAAAAATTTAAAATGGGGTACATAATTTTTTTTTCATGCGTGTCGTGTTTCCGAATCTTTTTGTTTTTTGTCACTGGCCTGTCATTGTTTGTCTGGAGGCCAGTGCATTTGTTTTGTTTGGATTTTGAATAAATTGCGCCAAAAAAAGATGCCGCCGAGATCTTGTAGCTGAAAAGCACTTTGGCTTCGGCTGTCATAACATACCGTATGTAGGATAACCAAAAAGCCTCCATATAGTTACCTTTTATAGAGTTGCTTAAAAAAAACATTTGTCTATGAATAGAACATAGCACGAATATTTTATTATCTGTTTTAATATTAATAACCATAAACTATAAACAAATGTCAATTATTAATTTGTTATCTTTTAACTCTTCTAGAAATGACGATTTAAGTATTAATTAATTAGTTTAATAGAAATATTGGTAACTTACATTTGCAATAATCTTGTTAACTTCATGACAATCACATTTAACAAAATACAATAAAACACTGCTTCATATGTTTTTAGGTTATAAATATCGCGATGTAAATATTTATAGTGTGTCTATTTAAGATAGATTAGTTTGACAATTCACTAGATATGGGTTGATTAAAATCGATTAATTTTTTCTTTTTTCGATGGTTATTCTCATAGAACTTGCAATCGAAAATTTTGTGATTATTGTTTATGATTTATAATATAAATTAAATTATTTCTTTCTATCCCACTTTATTGTTCAAAACTACAAAGAAAACTTAAAATATTAAACTAAAAATTGAGTTTGAGAAACAAAAATAATAGTTTTTAATGTTTTCTTTTAGTTAATTGCGCGAGAATAGGTAAATATCTGTAATAAAGTACGTAAATTATAGTACTCATTTGTTGGATTAATGACACAAGACCGATTTTTCGATAGTACACAGTTTTTCGTTGTGCTCGACGGTTCGACACTATGACAATCGTCTATTAAGTACAACATTAATCCTCATACAAAATGTAATTCCATATTTTATAGACGTCAATTGTCAAACTAATGTATTTTAAATAGACACACTATAATTTAAATTTAAGAAAACAAAACACAAAATACACTTAATAAACATACCTATATCCAATTAATATCCGTAAACTAACAAATTCTATAGAAAAATCGACAAAATATTTCTTATCTTAAAATGATAAAGTGCGTTACACACGACCGTTTCTGTCGCGATCTGACATTTATCTAATTTGATATTAAAATGCAAAGACATAAAGTAGTTTTTTCTTTAAAGATGATTGATTCAATGATAAATAACGTGAATAAAAAATTTCATTTCAATGAACTAGCGTTCGCCCGCGACTTTGTCAGCGCGAAAAAAAAATATTATAAATTATTCCTATATGAATTTACCGGAGAATACCAGGAACAAATGAGGATAGACAAAAAAAACAGTGGTAGAGCCCGCTTTAACATCTTCGCACGATTTGGCCCGGCTCGCCCGGTGAAATACCACGACCACACAGAAGACAGGCGTCAAGTGGAAGCAATTCTGTGTTTCGTCTGATGAGTGTGCGTCCCGGAGACCCAATTTAGTCCTCTTTCCCTTCCCATCCTTTTTTTTATAAGGAAAGGATGGGAAGTAGAAGTGGACTTTCCGGATGAAAGGATGCATGGAAAGGGAAGATATTTTCTTTCTGTGCATCCTCTCCTCCGTCGATTAAAGGTAGGCAACGCATATGCAATTGCGTATGTCTATGGGCAGCGGTCACTTCGCTATTTCAGCGATTTCAGGTGGGCGACCGCTAGTATACGAGTATTTTTGCTATGATAATGGAGGTAACCATTTAGCTAAATATTTGTATAGTACATATGACGATCGACTACAATGAAACTCTTGTTTTAATATATTATTGTCTCTATTTTTTCCAAAGAGAATGAAAGAGATGGCGATATATGTCACTGCTCGACGCGTTTAATACTTACGTTATAAAAACATGACTTGCAAAATTTTTAAAATATTTTTGACTTTACGATTTCATTCTTTTTATGTTACGAGATATCCAAAGTCCAAAGAATTATGATAATTGAAATATAAAACGTCAGTTTTTAAATCGTGTGATATGAAATATTTATTCACGATTTGCTAAAGGATATCTTTAAACGAGTACCTATATATAATTCTTCTGTGAGTGTGTATGTCACTGAACTTCTCTCAAACGACTGGAGCGATTTTGATGAAATTTTTTGTGTGTGTTCAAGGGGATCTGGGAATGGTTTAGATTCACAATTTTGTCAGCTGGACAATGTTTTTTTTAATTAATTTTTAATTTATTAGTTTATTTTGGAATGTTTTACATTGGATCCGACAGACGGCGCTACCATCGCAGTGTCAAATTTTAAATAATATTCGAATTTTCAAATTAAAGACGTGTAGACAGGACAACGTCTATCGGGTCCGCTAATAAATATATAAATATTCAATGGGCAGCGTTAAAAATTTGCCAGTAATATTCAAAGTAAGAAAGGCTTACTAATATTATAAATGCAAATGTTTAGATGTATGGATTGATGGACAAAGGCATGGATGTAAAACCTAGTTAAGACGGTATAGGCTACTATTTTTTTTTCATTCTGAGTAGACTGAGACGTGGGCGACAGCATAGATACATGAAAGATTAGTACTTCGGTCCTGCGAAATGACTGGAAAATATGTATTGAACATTGTACAGCACTTTTTCTTATCTTTTATCTAGAATATGTGTGAATATGGTACGAGTATCTATTCTGTGAGATAATAAAACGTAATCATATCAAATTTTAATCTTTATTGTCATCGTGAACTAATTGTCACGTTGAATGTAGTCAAAAGTACAATTAGACGAAATTTGACGCTAAATTAAAATCTAGACGAGTAATGAAACTAGAGTATTTCTATGATCAGAAAATTTATAACTTTTTTTTACTTGCCTGTCCGACGCGATTCGCGTATTGACGAAGTCTCGGGCGACCACTAAGCTAATGTAATAAAATTAGAGTCTCTGAATGCAATATAGAATGAAAATAACTCAAAAAAAACTGGATAGTTTTTAATGTTTCAATATATAAAAAATGGGACTAAATAACACGCAACACCTTTCGAATAATAAGACTAAAGGAAATAAAATAACTAAAGGCGGAGTTTTCGAATACAAAAAAAAACTTAGAGACGATTTGATAACCTTTTGAAGTCCGTTAAAAAGAATTTACAACATGATTTGGGATAACGGAATATATCATACGTCATTATGACACCTTTTTGACAGACAAATTGTTAGTAATTTGTCAAATAAAAATGTCATGGACGTTATCACTTATCAGTATTAACTTTATAGTCAATTAGTGAACACTTTTTGGTTATTGGTTAATAATTATCGTATTAAGAGAATAGTGTGTTAATTCGCGGAAAATAAGCATAATAATTGCTTAAGTTGTAATAGTTCGATAGTCAATAAAAACATAACATATGTGTTTACGCCAAACTATCAAATGTTTTAATTATTTTTACAGTTTGTTTTATTAAATACAGAAAACGGAAAATTAACAAAATGTCTTTATTAGAGAAGGAATGGTTTATACAAGCACCGTGGGGTAGAATATGCAGTAAGTATATTAAAATTTAATACACGTTAAAAACTAGCTTGAAACTTAAATATCAAGTCATGGTTAGGTTCAAAGTACAGATACACGAAAACAATAGTACATCTAATAAAAAAATCTTATATAATAATAAAATATTAAATTCAAATTTAGAACTTATCAGTACAAAGAAAAACAAATTTAAACAATTGACTGTCTACATTATTTTAAGTAAACTATCAGTGGGTTTTTGAAAGCAAATTCTCCGTTTGAAATATATTGTTATCTCTGTTTTATCAAAGATAGTGACAGGGATATCTGTATTTTTATATAGAGAGACATAACCTTTTTAAAACTACTTTTATGTATAAAACTACTGTATGACACATTTACTATAAATTAAATAGCATAACCTTTTCCAAGCAATATCCAATTTTATAAGTTGCCAGTATTTTCTGGTTGAAAAGAGGTTTAATAACTGACTGTATTATTTCAGTTGTAGCATGGGGTGACTGTTTGGATCCACCTGTTCTTGTATGCCATGGGAATATAGATTCCGCTGCCAGCTTCAGACCTCTTATATCATTATTGCCAAAGAAGTTCTATTATGTAGGTCAGTATTCACAATTCCTATTGATGACCAGAGATTCTATGAATGGGACGTCTAGACCACTGCAATACCATGGCCATACTGAAGACAGGCTTCAAGTGGAAGTAATTCCAACTACAGTTTGATGAGTGTGCATCCGGAGAACTAATTTTAGTCCTCTTTTTCTTCCCACCCTTATAAGGAAATGATGGTAAGGGAAGGGAATTTGATGGAAGAGGGGATGTATAGGGGAAATATTATATTTCTGTGTTTCCTTTCATATGACTAAGGTTATTCATCTGCAATTGTAGATGACTATGGGCTGTTGTTAGCTATGTTGAAATCATGTGGCCGCTTGCTTGTTTGCCACCTCATAATATTTAAAAATATCTACCTATATCTACATATTGTCTTTGATATATACTGGTCGATTTTACATACAAAGAAAGTTTGTATATGGTTCTAATGTTGTTTTTTTAAACTTATGAAAAAAGAGTTACTAAAAAGTAGGTTTTATATTATAAGACCTTATAAGGTTTTATATTATAAGGTGGCAAAGAACCAAGCGGCCACCTGAAATCGCTGAAATAGCGAAGCGATTGTTGCCCATCGATATACGAAATTACACATGCGTTCCCTATCGTAATCGAAAGAGGACGGAACGCACAGAAAGATAATGTTTTCCCTTTCCATCCTTTAGTTATAAGAAAAAAAGTGGGAAATGAAAGAGGACTAAAATTAGGCCCTCTGTACCACACTCATCAGACTATAGTTGGAATTGCTTCCACTTGAGGTGTGTCTTCTGTGTGGTCATGGTATTGCACCGGGCGAATCAATTAGTGCAAACATGTTAAAGTGGGCTTCATCGTCATCAGCTGACTATACGTCCCCACTAAGAAGCTCGGAGCCTTCCCTAAGTTAAGGGTGACTAGGCCATAGTCAACCACGCTGGCCAAGTGCGGGTTGACTTCACACATATCTTTGAATTACTTCTCAGATATGTGCAGCATCACGATGTTTACCTTCACCGTAAGAACATAGGATAAATGTAAATCGGAAATCGAAAACCACATTGGTACATGGCGGGATTCGAACCCAGGACCTGCAGATTGCAAGTCAAGTGCTTGACCCCTGAGCCACCGACGCTCTACTAAACAGATGTTAAAATGGATAAACACTCACGTATATTCGTCCGGTGGTCCGGGTAGTGTTTAGCCGTTTTTATATCAGTTTAATATAAGTATGGATGTCATATATTATTTTGTTTTATAATTTGGACTTTAAAATATTGATAATGTTCGTATCAAAGTTATCAGAGATAATAAACAATATTCTAAGATAAAATAATAAAATTCAAGAGACAATTTGATGTAACATTAAAATGATTGTGTGATCAAATTTTCTTAATAAAATTCTCGTGTCACAATTTTCGTTCCCATACTCCTCCGAAATGGTTTGACCGATTCTCATGAAATTTTGTGAGCATATTAAGTAGGTCTGAGAATCGGACATCTATTTTTAATCTCGCGCGGACAGAGTCGCGGACGACAGCTAGTAATTTCACAAAACTATCCCTATGACATTTGGGGTAAGACTCAAATTACGCTACTCAAAATTAGTTCAGAGGGCCTACCACGAAAATTTGCGACATTCGTAACATCGACATTTGTATAGATTTGTACCTGAACGCCAAATCTCATACACATGATATATTTTAAAGACAAGGTCGGTATTAGTATTTTCAGCGCCAGAGACGAGATTTTCGTGGTACTTTTTTTTGGTGTCGGTGGAAAACTTTCAAATACACGGCAGATTAGTGGAGGCGCCCTTTATATCTGTCCTTGAGAATGTCCCCAACGTAATGTCGCTACAATTTGTCGATGACGTTCCAAATATTCGTAGACTGTCAGTTATTTCTGAGAAAAACATTTCTGTCAAAATGTTTGGTCTTTTATTTAACAGTATTCTTGTAAATCTCTTCAGGTATGGAGTTACCAGGGAACGGTAAATCGGATCCGTTTCCTCCTGGTGTGTTATTCAGTTCACATGACTTTTTATATTCCATTGTAGTGGTTGTGAGACATTTCCGATGGGAGAAATTTATCTATCTGGCTCATTCCTTCGGCAGTAGCTTGGGTACGTTCAAGATTAAATTTATTTGTAACTTTTTTTATATATCATAAGGTGGCAAGCGAGCGAGCGGCCACATGAAAACACTGAAATAGCGATGTGACCGTTGCCCATAGACATACGCAATTGCAGCGTTGCCTACCTTTAATCACAGGAGGAGAACAGAAAGACAATATTTTCCCTTTCCATGCATCCTCTCATCCGGAAAGTCCACTTCCCATGCTTTCCTTTTAAGAAAAAGGGTGGGAAGGGAAAGAGGACTAAATTAGGCCTCCGGGACGCACACTTATCAGACGAAACGCGGATTTGCTTCCACTGGACGCCTGTCTTCTGTGTTGTCGTGGTATATCACCTGGCGAGCCGGGCTAATATAACTGTCAAATAAAAAGGAGGAGATGAATCTAAAAGATTCTTACTTTGACTGTTTCTATGGCTGGATTCTGTATGTACTATCAAGGAATCTGGCGGTATTCCACTTTAAAAAGCAACAGCTGTGTCAACGTTTTATAATTTCAAGAACAGGACGTAGCTATTAAATGTTTCTGTAATTTAAAAGTACACGAATTGCTTTTTACTACTATATAATCGTTTGCGTAACTTACTTCTACCTAATTGGGTTATTCGTAAGGGGCTGAGTTTGTCTCTGTTACTGGAATACCGCGAAATTCTCTGACTGTACGTCTCCTGCTCTATTTGAGTTCTATCTTCCTTCTCTTTCATGTAACCAATTGTCACGTTTCAAATGTTACTTGACCTTCGACCTTATATGGAATAAGCGCTTACAAAGTTTTTATGTTTTCAGGCAAAATGTACGCAATGGCGTACCCAAATAAGTTATCAAAAATAATTGAATTGGATCCAATTACGGTTAACGGTGTAATGGATCACCAAAACTATTCAATATGGTGATTAATTTTTATTACTATTCGAGTCTGGATTGTTATATTTCGTACATAAGATGGCGACAGTCTCCCGACTTCGCACGCCGAATTAAAAAAAAAACATAATTAGTCGCCTATGTGTTCTTCCAGATGTTCTACATGTGTGCTAAATTTTAACGAGATCCATGCAGCCGTTCTGGAGATACCTTCTAAAAAATATCCATCCATCCATCCATCTAAACATTCGCGATGAGGAAAGATTAATTAAAAAAAACTTGTCTATCTTTATGGCCACAGGCTACGTTTATTCCGTCTAATCTCTGGAACAGTTAGACCGATTTTGACGGGACTCTGACGGGAAGGTAGCTGATCCACCCGGGTATAATACAGGTTACTTTTTTAGGGTTCCGTACCTCAAAAGGAAAAAAAACGGAACCCTTATAGGATCACTTTGTTATCCGTCCGTCTGTCAAGACCCTTTTTTATGACAAACCGCCCGCTGACAAAGTTGCGGGTGACCGCTAGTTTATTAATAAATATAGATTATTGTCTATAGTCAAAATAGCTGTGTAGGTAGAACGACTTTATCTAGATCAGTCATTCCCAAAATGGGCGATAACGCCCCCTTGTGGACGCTGCAGGCCTCAAGTTGCGGGTTATAGTAAAAGTTTCGTTTAGAATTCTCCGTTAATATACATATATAGGTCACAATAATTAATTTAATTTGAAGTTATAGTGGTTTTTAAATATGTGAAAATATGGGGGCGATAAAAAAAATATTTATTCTCAAAGTGGGCAGTAGACAAAATAAGTTTGGGAACCACTGATCTAGATGATTAAAGAGTTAGCAATTCTTTTACCTGCCTTGTTCATTTTCTAGGTATCAAAGATCTTACCACGAATATTGCAAAAACTATGACAAATATAATCTTCCAAAAGAGTTCGGACCGAAATATAAAAAGGAAGAGGTAAGATTATTCAAACGCTAGGTTATTTGAATTTAAAATTCTAGCTAAGGTTCAAAGGTTTGTTATAAAAAATTGCATATAATTTCAGGCTATAGCTAAATTAGTAAAAAATAGACAGTTAACAAAAGAGACCGCGGAAGCCACGCTTGACAGATGGTCAGAACCAACTGGAGATGGCCATATACGGTGAGTTTTCAGACCGCGAATGCGGGGAGTTTAAAGAAAAATCGTGAAAAGTAAAAAAAAAAGTCCTGTTACTACAAAAATAGTGTTTGACAGACTATGACAGATTTTATTTTGCAAGAAAAAATTTTGCAAAAAAAAAAAATTTTTTTTTCGATGTCTAAAAAATTTTGATTATTTTTTCTCTTCTCAGGTTCACATTCGATCAGCGTTTAAAGATATTCGTTCATTATCAAATATCAGAGAAATTAGCAAAAGAATTGTACACAAATATTAATATACCGACATTAGCTTTCGTCACTGACGTATCTATTGACAGGGGCTTGTATAAAACGACGCCATTTTTCTTAGACGAGAAATCATATCCTGCCGGTAATTATAGAGTTAGATTTGTCTCTGGTTACCATGATGTTCATGTTGTTAAACCAGAAATTCTAGCACCTTATATTACTAACTTTTTATTATACGGGCTTCAGGGTCTTGATAATACTTCAAAGTTGTAATTGAAATTTGAAAAGAAAATCTATAAATGGATAGGCTATTGCTTGGAAATGATTGCTTTGTACCGAATTACCGTTGGTTTCTAAGACTAAAATCTCCGTTCACACATATCGTTATCCCTGTTTTTTCAAAGATGAAAAACAAGGATGACGATATGTTTATACAGTTTTTATACAGAGGTTTTTGTCTCGGAAACCCACAGTTAAACGCGCTTGTTGATATTTCCTGACAGTTAATTCGAATTCACACCAACGCTTAAAACCGGTACAATCAGCGCTAAAATGTCGAAAATCAAATAAGCACAAAATATTATGTGTTATAGCCAGTCCATTTATAGAGGTTGTGTTGAACAGTGGTTTTCAACCTTTTTCAAAGTCATAGAGAAAAGGCAGTTGTTATAAAATTGTGTCAGATAAGGTACAAACTTTCAGGGGTACAAAACATTTTTATTTGATTTTTCAAACTTTTGTGAGACATTATAATAAACTTATATAAAAACGGCTAAACACTGACGTATATTTGTCCGGTGGCACCGACTAGTTTCAAGCCTATCGGGGGCCCTTCATCAGGGTGAGTGGTACTGGTATTATTTCGTGGACGCGTGAGCGACGGACGGCATACGCGAGTGTTTAGCCGTTTTTATATCAGTTTATTATTATTTGAAAAAAAATATATTGTTAGTGTTGATTTTATATTAATTTATAAAATGTAACTTGCAATCATACGATTATTGTAATTAATTTGTGATGCTCTTAGTTCCAGTCACACTGGCTTTTACTTATTTTTTTTAATATGCATTTATAAAAAATATTACCAGCTTCAAAAAATACCCATTCTCTGTTTCTTTTTTTATATCGTATAAGAAACACTGATATAAGGAACTATATCTAGGTTTCAGGATGTCTAACTTAAGCAAAATCAGATAGTATATTTACTAATTTATTTCCTCTTCGCCACAACCTTCCACTTCAACAGCTCGATACCGAATGTCCAACCGACCTCCTTCTATCTATCAGCTCTCGATAATATTCCGTCCCTCTTCCTGACAGCTCAAAATGTTGCCCGTACATTTAGCGAACCATAATATTAGAGAACTCTAACAATCGTATAGTGACAAACGAGCGAACGGCCACCTGAATTTCAATGTCATCATCATCATCAGCTCACTATACATCCCCACCGAGGGGCTCGGAGCCTACCCTAAGTTAAGGGTGATTAGGCCATAGTCAACCACGCTGGCCAAGTGCGGGTTGGTTGACTTCACACATATCTTTGAATTTCTTCTCAGATATGTGCAGGTTGCATCACCATGTTTTCCTTCACCGTAAGAATGTCGGATAAATGTACATATGTAAATCGGAAATGGAAAAACACATTGGTACATGGCGGGATCAGAACCCAGGACCTGCAGATTGCAAGTCAAGTGCTTGACCACTGAGCCACCGACGCTCGAATTTCAATGTTATAATTAATAATCAAATTAAGAGGTATTTAAAAAAAATCGAGTGAAATTTTTTTCAGTGATATTGGTCCATATTATCCATCCATTTAAATACAAACAAATGTTTGTTTAATGTACTTAATGTAAGGTATTTAAGGTAAGGGTAACATCGACTAAAATGGGCTTTAAGTAAAAAATCTATATTTTTTTTACTTTAGATATTGTCAGTATCCACTATCCAAATTGAATAATGCTTTTATTTTTAATTAAAAAAAAACCGATTATGACATTTAAGGAAAAAAATATACTTCTACGACATCGTCAAAATGGAATAAGTCGTTTTGACGTCATATCAATCGGATGTCATTTTTTATAATTATAACCAGTTTTGTGCCAGTGACAATGCCACTTTTGGACAGGATTAGTTTAAATGTATATTAAGTTACCAATTAAGTATTCATTTTATGAAATCAAGTAAATAATGTACAGTCAGCGTCATATAGATCGTCACAGACATGATATGCAAATATATAGGTACACCAAAAGTAATCAATTATAATACAAAGTGTCAAATGAATGTAACAGAAGTAGTTTATTCCAAATTGTATCACAAGTATATAGAGATAGAGTTCAATTTTGTCAAATGTACCGATATTTTTGCGCACCTTGACTGCTTCGTTACTTATGACGCTGTGGCTGCTACGATATTTATGGGCATCTTGCATGTACTCATATATTTGACGCTGTGTATGTACCGATGTATTTGAGCAGGGTGAATGTATCTATTATTTTGAGGACTTTTGTTGTACCGATATATTTGATTACTTTTGGTGTACCTATATATTTGCATATTTTGTCTGTGACGATCTATATGACGCTGACTATACTCATAGAAAATTCTCGATGGTAATAAATTTAAATTAATAATGTTTTTTTCTTATATACAATTGGTATGAATAATTACGATTGCAGAAATATGCTATATTACCAGATTATATATATTTTTTTTTTTGTAAAAAAATAACATTTTTTTTTGGTATAAATAAATATGGGACATATAAATATTTTGTTTTATTTATGTTACGTTTATATCATGATGACAAAAAATTCACAATTTTTTTTTATAAACATTGTACGAGGCATAGGTGAATAAAAACGTCTTTTGTTTGACAATTTTTTTTTTATTAAAATACGCATATTATTTTAATTAAAATTAATCAAATTTTTATTACTTAGATTGCTACTGTATATTATTTTATTAATAATACTCATTTATCATTAACGATTTATTTCTTTGGTGAGCCTAATTTTTATTTTTGTTCATAAACCTTTATGAATATTAGTCAAAACCTTAAAAGAATCAAATGCAACGAATTATTCGCTTTAAGATTATAAAATCAACATATACGATGCTAGCTGTCGCCCGTGACTACGTCCGCGCGATATTAAAAGAGAAATGAATAGTCTATGTGTTCTTCCAGATTATTTTCTACATCTATGCCAAATATCAGCGAGATCCATGCAGCTGTTCCGGAGATACCTTCAAACAAACATCCGTCTATCAAAACATTCGCATTTATTATATTACTAGCTATTGCCCGCGACTCTGTCTGCACGGAAATAAAAAAAAACTTAGTAGCCCATGAGTTCTTCCATCTAAACATTCGCATTTATAATTTTAGTAAGATTAAAAAAAGCGTCGAAGATCAAATGTTCAAAGCGTAATATTTTTTATATCTTGGAAACTTTTGATTTAATCATCATTTCCACTGTCATCTGAGACTTCACCATCACCAATAAACTCTTCTTCCGCCATATTGGGTCTATTAGCGAAGCTATTTATCTGTAACACTGACGCCATAGCCAATCCAGTACCCAAACTATACTCTATGGGCTGTAAACTTTCGTCTGCTGTGTCTATGGTCGCGTTCTTTTTCACTCTGTGCCGTCGAATGTCTTTCAAAATATCCCCTCGTTCTATTTGATCGAAGTCACATTCACTTTCTGATGAAGACAATTCTAAATCTTTCTTTGAAACTTTGAAATTAACCGGTGAATTATTGTTTGTTGGTTCGCCGATATGGTGTTCTTTATGTTTTATCGGTTTTGATTTTCTACACCATCTCATTATAATAATAAATTGTTTACATGCAGTAAATGTGATTATTTTGGACTTCAATTTTAAATTAGCATTTGCTATATAAATATATCCCGGAATGTCTTTCTCCGTCATATAAAATTTATTTTTCAATATGTATTTCTTATTAAAAACACCGCATGATTTTTTATTTCGTTTTATTAATAAATGTTGCTTATTTATTGGTTTCAGTTTCGTTTTTTTCTTTTGTTTTCGTAATATTTTTGATATAAAACCTTTTCGGTCTAAAACTTCTTCAAGTTTTATTTGTCGAGGGAATTCGGGAACCACTTTGAGTTCTGGCATCGTTTTTGCCAGCGCCTGTCTTTCTCTTTCCCTCATCACATCTTCTCTTTTCACTAATTTCCTTTTCAATTCATTTAAAACAAATTTGGAAGCTTCCTTCTCTTTTTTCCCCGGCCCTGTTGTGACATCTTCAGCTGTTTGTGTGACACTATCGTCTTCTGTTTTAACAAAATAAAAAACTTCATCTTTTGTCTCTGGTTCTTTGTCTTCTATTTTCAAAATCTTTTCTTCCTCATCGTTTATAACAGTACTGTCAACTTTTAGATTATCGTCGTCTAATTTTCTATGCAATTTTTTTAATCTTATTTGTGAATTCTGTGTAGTCGCCAGACATTTTGTTAAATTGTCAATAAGATCGTCAATATCTTTATTAAGTAATACAACATTTAGTTCTTGTTTATTCATCGCGCATGCATCTAGGAACATATCTACGCTATTACATTTAGTTAAAGCTAATTTGAGTTCCAAAGAAGCTCTTGCTATGTCTGCATGTACATCAGAGTACATCCAACTATCTTTGACGACTCTACCTGTCTTCGGTTCATCTTTAACACCATAGTTTTTAAGTAATCGATACATTCTTTCTAGAGAACTATAATTCTCTCTGAATTCGTCTATTAGATATTCTATGAGAGTTGTGTGAATCCAGTAAATAAGTTCGTTATGATTCTTGCACATTTTTCTGGCGTGTGTTGGCGGTATAAAGTGCGCCAAAGCGATATGTCTAAGCAATGTAGATTGTACTACTAAGAATGCGTGATGAATTTTCTGTAATATAAAACATTTTACTTTTATTATCAAACTACATGTCGCCCTGGACTCCAGCCGCAAAAGTTTAATAAGTAGCCTATGTGTTCTTGCAGACTATGTTCTACGTGTGTGCCAAATTTCATCTAAATCCGTTGAGACGTTCCGGAGATACCTTCAAACAAACACCCATCCATCCATCTATCAATCCATCCATCTAAACATTCACATTTATAATTTTGATAAAATATGTTTTTTTTTTCTAAAAATATTGGCAATTTGATATTCTTGGTAAAATTTTGCAGCAACGAAAAGCAAGAATAACATCGCTAAAGCATTTTCCGACGTTATAGAGAGTTGTTGTTAAGAGTGAGTGTAGAGGCCTAGGAAGAGATGGATGGATTGTATGAAAGGTGACAGGTGAAAGGTGATTTAGGGAGTGACAACTAAAATGACGATAGATAGATTGTTTTGGAGGGCGGAAACCTGGTGCGCCAACCCTACCTAAGTGATACAAGGACAAAGAGATGATAGAGTGGTCATCAGCTCAAATAAACCATACAAAGCGTCCCGGAGCCTACCCAAGTTTAAGGTGACTAGGCCATAGTCAACCACACATTAAGCTTGACACACTTCTCTGAATATTTTCACATACTTGAGAATCTTAAGACGCAGCGTCGTCCCAATACACCCTATAAACAACAACACATACGGGACAAGGTATTTTTTTAGAGCCGCAGCGAACTCCTATAAATATCGTATTATTTTTGTAACTATTGCATTCGTTTGGGAGTAATAAAGGCGACAGTTTGTCCGACCAAGAAGTGCTTTCATTTACCGTATACAGTCCACTACAGTTTTTTGTATAAGTGCAAATTGATTTCCTGATACTTACTAATAAATTATCAGTATCTTGGTTAGTGACCGCGTCCCAGGCTAAGTCATCTCTGAGCCATGGCGCGTTACCCAGCACAGCAGAGGAGGCGCGCGCAAGTAGCACTGACAGGCTGCTTTGCTGACGACACAGCATTATGTGTGTCGACTCGATAATTGATGATAACGATTCCCTAATACGACAAATTACACTAAATTGCATAAAAAGACATTTTTTAATTAAAAAAAAATAATCACTTTAATCTTGAAAATCTGCTTAGTTTTTTTTAAAATGAAACACTTCATAAACGCGAAATTTTCTTTTTTACTCGACTTGACGATCACATTTTTTTTAAATGTTTGTCTATGGTAAAAATATTATAATCTTTGGTTAGAAAAGTACTTACAGTTTTGCATGTAGTGCTGTATATTCCCTGCAGAGGGCGGCAGCGCGGCGCGCGAGAGCGAGATAGTCGCGCATGAGAGACAATAGCGCGGGTAAACGACCCCGACATTGTCTCCTGTGTGCCCACCTCACACAAACCGGTAGCAACAAATACGTCGCTGTACGGAGTAACGTGGACCTCTGTAAACTAAATGTTTGGTGGCCATTTAATAATTGTTTACCTTAATAAGTGACCTATAACTGGAGTGTTAACCTTATATAGCTTTTCTAAATAGGCACCTACTTTTAGTGCACACAATATGACCCTTCTATCCCCCTGTCAAATCTTTTATTTGACAGGAGGACTTATTCCCAAAGAGCGTCGGTGGCTCAGGAATCAAGCCCTTAACTTGCAATCTGCAGGTCCTGGGTTCGAATCCCACCATGTACCAATGTGTCTTTCGATTTCCGATTTACATATGTACATTTATCCGACGATCCGGTGAAGGAAAACATCGTGATGCTGCACATATCTAAGAAGAAATTCAAAGATATGTGTGAAGTCAACCAACCCGCAGTGTGCCAGCGTGGTTGACTATGGCCTAGTCAACCCTAACTTAGGGTAGGCTCCGAGCCCCTCGGTGGTGACGTATAGTGAGCTGATGATGATGATTCCCAATTTTGTTAAGTCTATTTAATTATAATCATCTTATATATAAAATTCTCGTGTCACAATTTTCGTTCCCATAATCCTCCGAAACGGCTTGACCGATTCTCATGAAATTTTGTGAGCATATTGAGTAGCTCTGAGAATTGGACAACATCTAGTTTTAATCCCGCGCGGTCAGAGTCGCGGGCCACAGCTAGTAATATATATTTCTTTGTAAATGGGCACTTAATATACTTGCTATACTATCTTTCAACCAAAAAACATGTAGAGTAAGTCTTTTATATTATTATACAAAAAAAATAATAAAGACACAACTCACTTCCGAGGTGGACATACAATCATACAAGCTGCTACCAACGCAGCAGCTGTAACCTGCTCTCCAGTTGTCAACCAGCCACCAGCTTGCCGCATCACTACTGGTGTCTCCTGTTCAACCTCCGCACAATCCTCTCTGAACAATAACCCACTCTCCAAAATATATATTATGTTATCACGACTGTAGAGTAACTGGAATTATGTTATTAATTTATAATTAGCTATCGCCCATAACTCCGCATGGAAATAAAAAAAATAGTAACCTATGTGTTCTTCCAGAATATGTTTTACATCTGTGCCAAGCGAGATTCATGCAACAGTTCTGTAGATACCTTCAAACATCCATCCATGTAAACATTCACATTTATAATATTAGTAAAATGATGGCTACAAGGATAAAGACCAAAAAAGTATGTATATAATATGAATGTAAATAAATAAGACAACTGATAGATATGTAAGGAAGATGACAATTAAAACACACACAAAACAAGAATTATATGACACTATGACAGTGGTGACAAGCCAATGGCATATTATTTGGGATCCTAAAGTTCATTATGCACTTATTTCACAAAATGTCTCAGGCAAAATCAATCTATCTAATATAAATGCATGTTTAGAAGCTATCTCCAGAATCACTCAATGGATCTCTCTGAAATTTGTCATAGAACATAGTCTGGATGAACATGTAACCTACTAATTAAGATTTTTTTTAAATTCCATGCGGGCAACATTAGTATAATAGTAAAAGAAATTACCATATTCGGTCTTAACTTTATAGCAATCCATTTCCTAGAAAGCATAGGCGGATTGAAGTCTTGTTTCATAAATAGTGCCATCTGAAAATAATAAAAATAATAGCCGTAATTATTAATAGTCTCCAGCCCAAATACCGGTAATTATGGGCATAAACTAAGTTATTTGAGGTCAGTCAATAACTTTCATGTTTCTTTTTATATTATAAGGCAGCAAATGAGCAAGTGGTAACCTGAAATCGCTGAAATAGCGAAGCGAATAATGCCCATAGACATATGCAAATGCAGATGCATTGCCTATTGAAAGAGATTATTTTCCCTTCCCATGCATCCTCTCATCCTGAAAATCTACTTCAACATCCAATCTTTACCTTATAAGAAATAAGTGGGAAGGAAAGAGGACTAAAATGAAACCTCCGGCTCACACACTCATCAGACTGTAGTTGGAATAGCTTCCACTTTATGTCTTCTGTGTGGTCGTGGTCGCACCGGGTGAACCGGCCAATTCGAGCGAAGTTGTAAAGCGGACTCTACCACTGTTTTAGTGATATAAATTTTAGTATGTAATTATTATGTACATAAAATAGGTTCCTTACTTTTATTATCTCTATTGTTATTAGTAAATATTATTAATTCCTTATTTATGTATAACCTATTTCTTTATTTTTATAAACAGCTGATATCTGACACCGAGAATGACAGTGACTTGACGTATGACGTCAATTGTGACAGATTTGTGTTTCACAGAGTAAATATTGTTTTATTTGCAAGGTAAGTAATCGTATCATCTTACTAATATTATAAATGGGAATGTTTAGATGAATGGATGTTTGTAGGTATCTCCAGAACGGCTGAACGGATCTTCATGAAATTTGGGATACAGATAGAACATTTTGGAAGAACACGTAGGCTACAAATTAAGTTTTTTTTTCAATTCTGCGCCGACGGAATCATTGGAAACACACATTGATTATGCAAATATACGGAAATTTTAGTTCTGTTCCAATTTTTTATACCTACTCACAATTTTTAATGGATTTGTGAAGGTTTTAATGCACATATCAATTAACAAGGAAAACGCATTAGTTTAAACGATGCATAATAAAAACTTTATACTTTACCAGTGGCAATATAATAACTACTAAAATAAATTAGTTACCCACTTTTGACGTTTTCGCGGTTTTATGAAAAACATTTTGACAGTACAATCAACGTCAAAACACTATTCGCGCCATCTATCATCAGCAACGTCTACAAAAAGTCTGACCTTGAACATCTTTCTGTTTGTAAATCAAAATACAACTCCATCTTAATAATATAAATGCGAAAGTTTAGTTGGTTGTTTTTTTTTAGAACGACTCAACGGATCTTTTTGAAATTTGGCACAGATGTGGAACATGGGCTTACTAAGTTTTTTCAGTACCGTGCGAACGAAGTCACGGGCGAAAACTCGTGTTATAATACTACACTGTGTTCTTGACACTGGGAAATTTATAAACAAGAATTAACCTTTCTAATCTAGATTTATCTTAACCTTACATGTTTACGTTTAGTAGAAAACTACGTATTAATTTACGACTTAGCGGCCATCAAGAAAAGAGCGTACCTTCATTAAAGGCCAGCAACGCATCGGCGGTTCCTCTGGCGTTGCGGATGTCCATCGAATCAAATAATTTTAGGCGTTTCGTTGCTTGTTTGCCCACTTCTCCTATAAAAATATATACATTTATATTGTTTACATACCCACGCCATACCTTCCCACACCAAACAGCATATTTGGAACATAATATGACTAAGATACCGCAATTTTAGATTTAGGGGAGGCGAAGCGGGAATTATGGGATTTACTCGAGCGTGGCTATTAAACTTAAGGACTTTACATCTAATTCAGTACCTCACCACAAATACAACTCTCTATAACCACGCGTTTGGAAAAGCCGATTAGGATACTATATATAGAGGAAATGAGAGAGCGATCAAGTTTTATGAACTAAATGAAACCTTGATATCTTACTAATATTATAAATATGAATGTTTAGATAGATGGATGGATGTTTGTGAGAAGGTTTCATTAGAACAGCATGGATCTCGCTGAAATTAAGCACACATGTAGAATATAGTCTGAAAGAACACAGGCTACTTATTAAGTTGTTTTACAATCCCACGCGGACGGAGTCACGGGGGACTGCTATTTATCTATAATTTTAAATGTCGGCATTTCGCTTGAGTAAATATTACAACCGATTTTTTTATTTAATATTTTGACCGACTATCTTAAAAGCGTGGTTCTATATCATCATCATCATCAACATCAGCTCACGTCCCCACCGAGGGGCTCGGAGCCTACCCTAAGTTAAGAGTGACTAGGCCATAGTCAACCACGCTGGCCAAGTGCGGGTTGGTTGACTTCACACATATCTTTGAATTTCTTCTCAGATATGTGCAGGTTGCATCACGATGTTTACCTTCACCGTAAGAACGTCGGATAAATGTACATATGTAAATCGGAAATGGAAAAACACATTGGTACATGGCGGGATTCGAACCCAGGACCTGCAGATTGCAAGTCAAGTGCTTGACCACTGAGCCACCGACGCTCCCATGGTTCGCCGGTTCTATATGGAACATTTTATTTGTGGTAGTAGTATTCGACTGGATGCAAGATTCCCTTATGTTTAATTGCCACGGTCGAGTGAATCCAAAAATCCCCGCTTAGCCTCACCTACTACGTACGTACGATGTTTATGGATTACAATTTCGATTGGAATCTGGTATAAAGATGTACTTACCGTTAAAATAAGTAGACATATGTGACTTGTAATTAAAAAGGATGTTATCATATTGTGAGTAAGCTGTTAATTAATGTATAACGTATATTAAATTGATGCGTTAAACTGCAATGTAACGTTAATCGTAATCAAATGGACGTACGACTTCGCACAAGATGCGCGTAAACATCGTTCTGTAAGTCAAATCAACTTCTTTATTTATTTATGTTTATTATTATAGGCGTATTTTATTAGTTTGAAATGTAAAAAGTAAGTTTTTCATATTAAATTTACATTTAGAAAGACCATTAGTGTTTAATATAAGAATATTTTTGTTGTAAAAAAAAATAATTAGTGATTTGTTTTTTTTAAACGAATCGAAGACTCGATGTCTGTCTATTTTTCTTTCGCACAGGCGCTTTTTCAAGCGACGATTGCTTTAAAATCACTCTTATTTTAATCACTCAGAGCTCAAAATGCAATGCTGCGATCAAAAATGCGTTGCGTTTTAAAATCGTTATATTTTAAACAGAAACGTTAAAATTCTTTCTTTATTTCAATGCTTTTTAACGCGTGATAAATAACTGCCAGTCTGAATGAAGGCTAAAGTATATCATAACATTAATATGCAAAATTATATTCACAAAGAATAAAAATAAAAAGAACAAAAACGACTGGCAGTATATTACGAAAATGTTAATTTGAATAAAAAAACAATCCACAAGAATTAATTTTATGAAGTTAAGTTTTTATGATTACCATGGAGTAGTTTACGGAACGTGACTTAAAAAGCAAGCAGAAAAGGTGCATTATCTTTTAATTTAAAAAAAAAACATATTTTTTATCATGTTTACCTTATTCATATTTTTACTTCCAGTTGTTTTCTGACGACTACCTTGGTTATAGCAATATCAGCTCAAAATCCAAAAACAATTCTTGCGGAACAATCAACAACAAGAACCGGTAGGTTTTATATTTAAAAAAAAATTCAACATTATGCTATAATTTTACACTTTTAGCGCCATTACTCGCTTACGATTCTGATTGGACGAGACAACGCCAGTCCGTTCGAATACACGTCAAAACTTTGGTTTATGAAACTAACCTAAAAATATTATTTTAATTTAAAAATGTTATTTTTAATTTCGTAGAAACGACATCAAAAAGGTGTGTTACGTCTAGAGGAGACAGCGGCAGTTGTGTTGGACGGAACCGATGTGACTACGGAACTCAGTACATAGATTTTACTCTCTATGTACCACATGGTTACATCAAGTAAGACTAATTATAATAATCTGTAAAGATTCCAGTAAGTTTACTGTTTGTCGCCTAGACTAATTGGAAACTGATTAAGTTCAAAATATTCGCTGACATAGAAGCCAGTATTTTAATTGTTGTTTAAAACCTTCATGGTGGATAGTTTTATTTACATTTTAAGCAAGGATATTTCCAAGAGAAAAAAATAAGGATGTTACATAAATTACATGATTTAAATATTAAAATGTATGATACAGACTTTTAAATATAGATTAAGTCGTATTTCCTTCTTGGATTTAACTACAAATTCTGTTCTGACAAAGCCCATTACGTAATATAAAAATGTAAACAAATGGCATTATAAACGATTAATTTTACTAACGTAAAATATCAATGAACTATTAAAGTTCGAAATTTGCTTTAAGGTAATAAGATTGAATTAAAAATATTAATGTGTGAATGTTCACGAAAATGCGCCTACTACTTTTTCATAGCAATTCCTCAATCAAGCATAGGCGATCAATGCGCCTGCAATTAAATAAATAAACATAATACATTAAAATTATTCAATCTTGCTGCCATGTGGCCCAAAATGTCCTCGCTCTGGTCAAAAAGATTAAATTTCAAAGTAAAATCTGATATTAAAATGGAAAAAGCGAATGTTATATAATAATTTCTATTTATTAACAAAATCACGGTTAGTTTATTCAAGGAGAATATTTAGTATGACAAAGTACAATCAGCTGCATAGATGTATATATTTTCAAAACTTCTATACATCTGTCCGTATATTTCTGACCATGGGTTCAATGCAATTGACGCATACTTTCCTATGTATTTTTAATCGTATACAAGTTTCTAAAGTTTTAGAAATATACTAGCTGTCGCCCACGACTCCGTCCGCACGGAAAAAAATCAAAAATAAGTAGCTTATATGTTCTTCTAGACTATATTCCACATCTGTGCCTAATTTCATCAATATCCGTTGAGCCGTTCCGGAGATACCTTCAAACAAACATCCATCCATCCATCTAAACTTTCGCATTTATAATATTAGTAACATTAGTAAGATACATTAATGCAGCTGACTGTACAAGCTTTTCAAGTGAGTAAATCCATACTTATGTTTTTTTCAGACAATGTTTCGAAGACCAAGTGTGCTGTCCGCCTAAATTCGTGACACCCGAACCTGAGCAATTATTTAAACCTACTGATGATTACGATTTTGATGATGATGATTAATTAAAAAAAATAGTATAACACGCACTGATCTTTGCAAATGGATAAGACATTGCTTGCAAATGACAGCGTTTGCATTGTTCAATATCCACCTCAAACTGCAACTGTCAAAATGACGATGATGAAACAGGCACAAAATACCAAGATTTATCTATGTATAGAGGTCGGTGAATACTGGCCATAAATTACAAACTCATTTTCGACTGCAGTCAAAGAGAATGATAGCAATATGTATTATGTCTTGTTTGCATTATTCCAGTCCAGCGCATGATTCCAACTGGCTATAAAAACCCGCACTGGAGCTGGAATGCATTCTAGTGATTAATACAATCACCAAAGCAGTTCTATGACTTTACGAATGATGAACTTAATTCCAGAAACATTTCGTTGCTAACTTCACACAACTTAGTAAGACGTATATTTTTTTTAAAAGTACAAATATTAATTACATATAAGAGATCTAATACATTAAGGGAATAAAAAATAAAACAAATTGAAAAACATTTAATCCTTTTCATTTTAGACTTAATACTATTGATTAAAAACATTTATTAATAAATTCAACAATATCATAAAATAGACAAAACAAATTATAAATTCAAAAAATGGCAACTATAATTTATACTCTGTATACACAGAAAGAAAACAAATCATAAAAAATTTCAATTTTGTTTATGGCTAAGTTTATATCATGAAACCATTTCAGTCTTAAATCATTTTGATAATGTAGTAAATAAATCCTAGAATAATATTTCAGTCAAATAAAAAGTACTAAAAACCATTAATCAAGAAAAATCACACGGTTTTGATACTTACATAAGTCTTTGGTTATGAATTAGGAGCTGTCAACGACAACTCCGTTCGCGCGGAATTAAAAAAAAAACATTATTAGTAGCCTATGTGAGCCTAGACTTTGTTCTAATTATTATTCAACAGCCTTCAACCCTTAATCAAGGGTAAAAATGCAATCTATAATCTATATGTATGCCAAATTTCACACACATTTGTTCAGCCGTTTTGGAGATACGTTCAAACAAACATCCATCAATCTAAACATTCGCATTTATAATATCAGTATAGCTTACGGTTGCCACGTCACCAAACCAATAGCCAGTTTAGCCTGACATTTGGGTAGAAAGACAAACTACATTATTGAGGATTTTTTTCTCAGTATTAATAGTGTTAGGAAGAAAATCTGACAATGTGCCGATTTATTGGCGCAACACTAGCCGTACTAAAATGTCCCCTCACTAATTAATCTGACACTTGACGTGGTAACGAAAGCGAGCCATTCGCGCCATAAGATTCCAAATAATGATGTTTAAAAATAGGTACCAAATGTAAGAATCCTAACAAAAAGCCTACATATTGGCTTTATCTGATCACCTGGCAATGCTAATTATAGCAGAATCTATATATATATATATAAAAGAAAGTCGTGTTAGTTACACTATTTATAACTCAAGAACGACTTTACCGATATGCCTGAAAATTGGTGAGAAGGTAGCTTAGAGCCAGGAGACGGACATAGCATACTATTTATTCATTTTTTCGAATTTATGCCTTGAAGAGCTGCTTTTTATTTAACTTACTAACATTATAAAAGCGAATGTTTAGATGGATGTGATATGGATGGATGGGTGTTTGAAGATATCTCTAGAACGGCTGAACGGATCTCGATTAAATTTGGCATACATATAAAACATAGTCTGAGAGAACACATAGGCTACACTAATTAAGTTTTTTTTTATATATCCACGCGGATGGAGTCGCGGGCGACAGGTACTTTCCGATAATTGCTACAATTAATTACATTCATGATTCCAATCACAACTTATTAATGACTTGTTACAATTCATACAGATCCAATCACGATCTTCATAATGCATTTCATTAAAATGCTTTATTTGTAAAATAAGTTCATAACCTCTAAATGTCAAATGACATTCAGTACAAACTATTTGGTTAGAATTTTCAAATGTACAGGATGTGTTTGTATCTGTAATATTTATATTAAATTCGCACATAGGAGAAATTATCTCTTCTAATTGTCATATTCACTTGTATCATTTTCTAATGGAACATAACTATATAAATATCTTACAAAATTATATTTGCTTAAATATCTTTTATAACTACAAGGAATTTCTAAAATATTTGGTATTTTTTTAAATCATCCTCTATAATACCGTAATACGCAGTTTTAAATTTTGAATTATCAAAATTCAAATCCTCAAAATATTGCAGTATTTCTGATTTTGATATTTTTTTTGGAATTCTCTGATAAATATATTTTGATTTAATTTTATATTTTTATGTGTATTTAAACCTAATTTTTTATTTATTAATTTATGTTTTAATTTATGTGGATTACGACGTTCGTAAATAACGTATTTTTCGTTATTTACGAACGTCACGTTTATCAGTTTTCAAGAGATAATATTGACATTGACAGTTAAGATAACACAAATGATCAAAACAAAGAACCACAAACAATTTAAATATTTTTAATTACACAATACGACTACGACATTACGAATTGTCCCTGCTCGCCCGGTGAAATACCACGACCACACAGAAGCCAGGCGTAAATTGGAAGTAATTCCGCGTTTCGTCTGAAGAGTGTGCGTCCCGGAGGCCTAATTTAATCCTCTTTTCCTTCCCACCCTTTTTCTTATAAGGAAAGGATGGAAAGTGGACTTTCCGGATGAGAGGATGCATGGAAAGGGAAAATATATTCTTCCTGTGCAGCCTCTCCTCCGTCGATTAAAGGTAGGTAACGCATATGCAATTGTGTATGTCTATAGGCAACAGTCACTTCGCTATTTCAAGTGGCCGCTCGCTCGTTTGCCACCTTACGATATTAAAAAAAATATGGACATTGGTAATCCGATTATTGTTGCAATCGTAGCTTTTTGATTTTCTTTATATATTTTCGCCAAGGTTTAAATACATAGTATTTTTTTGACTACTTATATAATGAAAATTTTTAAAATGTCAGCCTCATTACAGACTGAACACTGCCTAAATCAAAGTTACTTGTAATAACCACTAGACATAGCTATTAGCTAGTTTTTCCTTAAATAAAAAAGAGAAAAAGAAGGGAGAGGTGTTATAAAAATATTCAAATAATTGTTACTTTCTTTATTTAAAAATAAACATAACATCAAGGTTTTCACACAAAATATTCCATTTCACACTTATTGCATATTAATTTTAAAACAATTTAGAAAAAATACAATATACAGTTAACAATACTTATTTTTCTAAATATTTGTCAATACCATTTGTACATTAAATACTAGCTGTCGCCTCCGACTCCTTCCGGAATTAAATAAAACTTTATCAGTAACCTATATGGTCTGTCAGGCCATGTCCTAAATCTATGCCATATTTCATCAAAATCCGTTAAGCCGTTCCAGAAATCAAACAAACATCCATCCATCTAAACATAGACAACAGATTCACTGTGAGTTTCTGAGACCAAAATATCCGTTAAAACACATGACAACAGTACGAAAAGGTCGCTGTGAGACTTTTTGACATTGACATGAGGGCGCAAGTGAGCTTTGACAGTATAGTTTAACTTATGTCCACTAGATTAAATATCCTTGTTGATCTATAACAGATATAACCACGTCATCATCATCATCAGCTCACTATACGTCCCCACCGAAGGTCTCGGAGCCTACCCTAATTTAAGGGTGATAAGGTCAACCACGCTGGCCAAGTGCGGGTTGACTTCACACATATCTTTGAATTTCTTCTCAGATATGTGCAGCATCACGATGTTTTCCTTCACCGTAAGAACGTCGGATAAATGTACATATGTAAATCGGAAATCGAAATACACATTGGTACATGCCCGGATTCGAACCCAGGACCTGCAGATTGCAAGTCAAGTGCTTGACCACTGAGACACCGACGCTCGCTCGATAACCACTTCATTCAGATAATTTCATAATTTACCAGCTTATTATACGTCCCTACTGAAGGGTTCGAAGCCTACCCTAAGTTAACTAAGCCATAGTCAATACTGACCCAGTGCATGACTTCACACATATCTTTGAATTACTTAAAATGCAGCATCACAATGTTTCCCTTCACCGTAACATCAGATAAATGTACACATGTAAAAACACATTGGGATACAAACCCAGGACTTGAAAGTGCTTAACCTCTGTACCTACAATGCACTTTTATAACTATCAATTGTTTTCTTAATTCTTTATCCTATATATAAAATTCTCGTGTCACAATTTTCGTTCCCATACTCCTCCGAAACGGCTTGACCGATTCTCATGAGAATTGTGAGCATATTGAGTAGCTCTGAGAATCGCCCAACATCTATTTTTAATCCCGCACAGACGGAGTCGCGGGTGACAGCTAGTTTATTTATATACATTTTGCAATATATTATTACGTTTTACCGTACATGTGTGTTCCCAGTTAATTAGTGCAAGATCTCTAGCAGACATTCTTGTATTACAGTTAAGACACTGCCAATCTGGTTCTACAATATGGTACGCACTAAAGTGTTGTTCAATGACATATTGTATATCCTTCCCTTTGAATTCCATCTTGCATATATTACATTCCAATTTAACATAGTCTTTTGTATTTTTTGTCTTATGTAAATCTATATTCAAGTAACACATTGGTGTTGCCGTCTCTTGCAATTGTAAATCGTAATTTTCTCCATTTTCCGCTATCGATTCTGACACATCTTTATACATATATCTTATATAATTATATTTACATAAGTTTTTTCTCAATTCAACTGGCATGTTTAAATATGATGGCATATCTTTCGTTAATATTTTCAAATCTTCATATATAATTTGGTATATAGTACTATGGGGTGTAGAAATACCTTGTATTGAATAATCAAAAAACTTTTGTAGTAAATCTTTTATTAATATATTAATTTTATTATGATTTTTACATTTTATTTGCCATTTTGTTATATTTTCAATGTTATTCGGTTGAATCGGTAATTTTTTATTAACTAAAGTGTATTTCGTTTTGTGAATATTTTTATATTTGAGTAACAACATTTCTGACGATGACCATTTTAATTTTGCTATTACGTTAATACCATTCCAATGTAAAATAGCTTTTAATGGTATTAAAAGGGAATTATCATCCTGCGGTTCTTCCAAATTGAAAATATAATTATTATGTATAGGATGTCTTAATATAAGATTATTTAATTGGGCTTTTGTAGCGCAAACTTCCATCACAATTATCTCATCATCCGAATCTTTATTGTCCGAGTTATTTTTAACTTTTTTCATCTGTGGCAATTCATTTAGATATGGTGGTAATAAAAATTTAACAACATCCAATTTTCTATGTAAATAGTTTTTTAATGTTAAATAATTTTTAAATTTAATATTTTCTATATCTTCCTTATTCTGTTGCGATTCCAATATCATAATATCCTTTTCAAATTTATCCCATTCAGGCCAATCTTTCAGATATTTCTTTATTATGTTTATAAATATCTCTATTTCAAATAAATTCACTTTCTCCACGTCCACGTCAAACTCCTTGCTTAATATATTTACAATTTCCGCGTTTGTTAATACTGTATTTTGTTTTGTATCGTTACCTATAAGTTTTTCAAATAGTTTCATTATTGGTCTGTCTGAAAATAAAGAGATTTTTTTTTATATCACAAGGCGGCAAACCTGCAAGCCTGAAATAGGTGAAATAATAAAGCGACCATTGCCCATAGACATACACAATTACAAATTCATTGCCTACCTTTGAATAACAGATGATGTACAGAAAAATAATATTTCCCTACCCATGCACCAACTCATCTGGAAAATCCACTTCCATTTTCCAGCCTTTCTATTATAAGGAAAAAGGACTAAAATTGGGCCTCCGGGATGCACACTCATCAGATTATAGTTGTAATTGCTTCCACTTGAGGCATGTCATTGGTGTGGTTGTGGTATTGCACCTAGCAAGCTGGCCAATTCATGTAAAGATGTTAAAGCGGGCTCTACCACTGATATAATGATTTAAAAGCAACCATTAGACAATCTTTCTTTTATGTTTGTAATACAAACAAGTGAACAGCTATTTGAGATCACTAAAATAGTGAAGTAACCCTTGCCCTGAATATATATACATCTGAATAATGATAGAAAGTTGCAGATGCATTGTTAACCTAAAATGGACAAAAAAGATGATTCCCTACCTTTGCCAAAGGATGGGAAGAGGTAAAAGACTAAATTTTGTCTAAAGCACGCATTTATCAGACGAGATGCGTAAAACTTACAATCATCACAGTAATTATCTTTAATTATAGGTTATGCGGTATCTTTTTTTTTTAATATTACTAAATTTTACATACCAGGGTTTTCTACAAATGATTGAGATCCATCAGGTGCAACATAAATAACATCACACGAAGACTCGTCGCCCATTATTTGAAAAACCTTAATAGAACTTGAATTATATTGATTATTTGTTTTCAAAATACGGTAATACTAATTGTGGTTATACTAACTAATGAAGTTAACTAAAATACTGAAAGTAAACATATAAAAAGAAACAAAAAGAGGCAACTTCTTCATTTAGAAGGATTAAGATTCATGACATATGTCAAAGACGTGACGGTTGACGTTTGATTTGACGTTGAATTTTTCCTTTAAACATTTTAAATATACCAAAATATTCATGTCATTCTTTCATTGTGCTTTTTTTAATGTATTGTGAATATTAATCCATCAGCTCACTATACGTCCCCACCGAGGGGCTCAGAGCCTACCCTAAGTTAAGGGTGATTAGGCCATAGTCAACCACGCTGGCCAAGTGCGGGTTGGTTGACTTCACACATATCTTTGAATTTCTCAAATATGTGCAGCATCACGATGTTTTCCTTAACCATAAGAACGTCGGATAAATGTACATATGTAAATCGGAAATCGAAATACACATTAGTACCTGGCGGGATTCGAACCCAAGACTTGAGCCACCGACGGTCACTACGTGAATGTTAATGGGCGTGTTCAATTATTATAAGAAGCCCTGGCCCTTTGCCCTTTTAAAAAGTATCACGGTAGTCTAATTTCATTATATTGTTAGAAATTCATCTCCTTTATTAAAACACAAATTTGATGGATATCGATTTTATTTATTCGAAACATTATTTATAGACTATTAATTTAAAGAGAAATAACAAAACGAATTAATCATTATAATTATGGCCGCGTCTCTGAGACTTTCTGCCGCGGCGGGTATTTTTTGAATCATCCAACTTATAGTTTCTATAACTACTTGTCGACCTCGGCCTGGACCTTGATCTTGAGTAAGATCTAAAAAAGAAAATAAAAAAAATATAAAACCATAAATTGATTTGCGAAATAATATGAAAATTTAGGAGCGTAGTTCCTTATTTGATTGTCACAAATATGACTTGTCACTGATATAAAACTTTTTTTTTTCATAACAGAAGGTGGCAACACCTTGGTATTCCCGCTGCTATTTATAACCGTCTTGGATGATTTAAAAGAAAAAGAATCAAAAAGAAGGCGTCAAAAGGAAGTAAATCCACGTTTCATCTGATAAGTGCTGGAGACCTAGTTTTAGTCCACTTTCCATTCCCTTCCTTTTCGTATAAAGATTTGATGGATGCATAGGAAGGCGAAATATTCTCTTTCAGTACGTCCCTTTCTCCGATCAAAGGTAGGCATCGGCAATTACAGATATCTATGGGAAGCGTTCGCTATTGCGGTGAATAGGTCGCCTGCTCGTTTGCCTTATATTAAAAAAGTCAACCTAGAGCGAGATCTTGAAAGCCGTGGTCTGTAGTCCCCGTAATCATCATCATCAAAGCCGTCGTAATAACATTTGAAGATTAATCTTCTGTACTGGTACATCACGTACACAATACTAAGAAGTGCGACAATCTGAGGAATCAAAAATACGAGAACATTAGCTAGCTGTCGCGCGCCACTCCGTCCGCGTGGAGTTAAAAAAAAATACTAAACACGTTGAGCGCCACGCGTATTTCTAAGACAATACCGTTTAGGCCAAGAGCGCCGCTTATACTGGTATTAAAGGGCCTGTGTTTCCGATCGCAGTACAAAATAGTTTACACTTTTAACGTCATACCTATAGGCTTTTCAACACGTTACGCGGCAAAGTCTATTTCGCTTTTCTTACCGCTTAGCCCGCTCAGATAAAATTTCTTCGAAATGTGTTCGTGGCCGTTATTCTTTTTGCGACAAATCAGTTAATTACAGTTCAAATGTCACTGAGCGTCAAACATCATAAATAGAAAATCTAGTGTCAGCCACCGATGGCTGACGTGGCGGTCAACGTGTTAAACTCCAATTAAGAAGCCATTAGACGTTACAATAAAATGCATTATTCCCTAAATTGTTCTCCATTAGACCAAAGTTAAATGAAACAATAATAATCAAACGTAAAATGCTTTTAAATAACCTTAATGGCCACTAACTGTCGCCTGCGACTCCATCTACACGGGATTAAATAAAAAACTTAATTAGTAGCCTATGTGTTCTTCCAGACTGTGTTCTACATCAGTACGGCCAACCTTTCAAACAGATCTATGCAGCTGTTTGGATAATTAATAAAACATCCATCCATCCATACATTCTCATTTATTAGTAAGATAAATGTTTATGACAAGCATAACTTTTTCATCGTATTGTCATTATATTTAAAAGCAATCTGTTATTAAAATACGATTAATTCTATCGTTAAAAAATGTATCCATCCAAAGTACAACATTTCATAACAAATATTATATCCGTTGCATTTTCTTTTTAATGTTACAAAGATATTTGTTAAAGGTAACGCACCTGTATATATATATATCATCAGCGCACTATACGTCCCCACTGAGGGGCTCGGCGCCTACCTTATATTACGGGTGAACGAACCTGTACTTTTTCAAATCGACACTGATGTAAAAAAAAAAATTCTACCGATAGGAAATGATCTCATAGATTACATTAGGTTAAGAACATTTTATATTTAAAAAATAAATTAAAAAGTGAAATTTATGTTCATTTGAATAAAATAAACTGGGTCTTTTTTTTTAAATGTAACTATATACTAATAGTATATACCTGGTACTTTTATAAAGTGTGAAACAATTTTATCTTTTTCTTTGAAATTACTACCCTTCCAAAACCTTTGAAAATGCAAATAAAGACATTTTCAGTTTAAAAGTAATTTTTATGATAATTTAATATACATTCGCTAATATCTAGTTTTATCATTTTTTTTAATAAATGTCAGATGGACAGAAAGACGATTACCACAATATTGAGCTGGCGAACTTTAATGAACTCGTATATCGAGTCAACTAAGTCATCCATAGCGCCGGCCTATGCGGTCTACGCGAGATTCAGCAAGGAGACGACTTTACACGGCCTCAAGCATACTGTCACACGGAATTTACACCCTTTAGAAAGGTATTTTTTTCAAAGCAATAATCTTTTTTATTACATTCACATAATTTTAACAATAAATTTTTGACGTCTTCCTAATATTTTGAAGCTTATTTTTTTTATTTATTTTTTCTCACAATGATTAGTGGCCAGTATTATTCTTAATTGGATGATTAGTAAATACTCTTTTGTTTTTAGTGAAATGTTTTTATCGTTTACTTTTTTTTAATACAATCGTAGGTCATTACTTTATGCCCCGTTTAGACCAGGCCAACTCAGTAGGCCAGTGGAGCTCGAAATCGGCGCTTACATACAACCTAGCCTAATGTAGATTTATTTCTTGACGATGGCTTGGCGACTATAAGTTTTGACTAGATTTTAAATAACTAATTCTGTTCATTCAATTATTGAGTTTTAAATTACTAACTATTCCAGGTTACTCTGGTTCGTGCTAACGTTGAGCGCATTCGCCGGCGCGGTCTATTGCGGTTTAAATCAGTTTTCAAGGTACAGTTCGGAGCCAGTCGTGGTTTCCCTGCAACGCGACTACCGCGGCTGGTGGTCCACTTTCCCCGCAATCACTGTCTGCTTCCAGGAGCGGGTGAATCCAGAACTCGCGCGAAATGAGATAGAGAGGTAAAATACGAATACGAATACGATAAATTTGACAAGTCAGGCCAGTTGGATAGTTTTTTTTTATATTATAAGGCGGCAAACGAGGAAACGGACGTTCAAATTGAATCGAAATGGTGATCGCCGCCCATATACAGCCGCAATTGCACAGAAATAGATTTTTTTTTAATTTTTGTCAGACATACATATACTGTTTGCAAGGCAGCGATTGTTCCGTGTAATCTCCGGCTGTACCGATTTTGATAGAACTTTGGCGGGAAGATAGCTGATGTGTACCGGCATGTTCTTTTTCCTGTGCTACGAATTCGCGCTAACCGCGAAAGTGATCATAAAGTTTACTGTTAGGATCGAATTTAGTCAACGAAAGTCTTTTTCATGCAAACAAAAAATTTTAACAGTGGTAGAGCCCGCTTTAAAATCTTCGCACGAATCGGCCCGGCTCGCCCGGTGAAATACCACGACCACACAGAAGACACGCGTGAAGTGGAAGCAATTCCGCGTTTCGTCTGATGAGTGTGCGTCCCGGAGGCCTAATTTAGTCCTCTTTCCTTCCCATCCTTTTCTTTTTAAAGAAAGAAGTGGAAGTGGACTTTCCGGATGAGAGGATGCAAGGAAAGGGAAGATATTTTCTTTCTGCATCCTCTCCTCCGTCGATTAAAGGTAGGCAACGCATATGCAATTGCGTACGTCTATGGGCAACGGTCACTTCGCTATTTCAGCGATTACGGGTGGCCGCTCGCTCGTTTGCCACCTTATGATATAAAAAAAAAATATAAAAAAATAATATTTTTTTTCAGAATTTGGAACATAACTGAATATACAAATTTAGACCTCTTCCAATACTATTACGGTTTTATCGAGCAAGTGGCTGATGTATCATTTAGAACTAATTTACAAAACTTTTGGAAATACCAAAGCGATGATACCGTGAAGGATGTGGATTTATTGAAATTGGCGCGCGCGGTATATCCCAACGTGACACTTGATGTCAACGTATCACAGATTAACAAAAAGGTATAACAGCTGTCGCCATTAAAAAAAAATGAAGCGTCGTATCAGTCGCTCAGGGTTTGACTTGTAATATACAGGTCCTAGTTACACTGTCGGCCAAAAGTTTGAGACCACTTTATACACAGGTCATAATTTGCAAAAATTTTTTTTTTTAAATATTAGCAGATTTTTTGTGTAAATTTACTAATATTTCTTGTACCATTCCAACTAAGCTCTATGCTTATGCTAGGATATGGTTTACAATAGTCGAATGTCAATCATTTATTTTAATATGTAAATGGTGTTAAGCTGTTTTGTGTACCAATTAAAATAAATAAATAAATAAATAAATGTCGGGATTCGAACCCCCGACCTCGTGATCGGAAATCCGTACCCTTAACCATTAGGCTATTGACGCTTAACACGCTTAAATATTTTAAATCTGCGTATAATAACATAACAATATGAACACCAGTGTAATCTATTAATCATTTTAAATGTCTAAACACCATTTCTCTTATCTTTTACATACTGACTATGCCATAAATGGGCATTGTTTATTTACCACAGATGAGTGCCGCGTAAGGACCAGGTGTTGCAATTGTCATTATATTATGTGTCGGCTCCCTTGTACTTGTTTGGTTATTGTTTTGCGTTGATAAATATTTAGGAATATATTAAGCCATAAATACTATTTATAGCATGGCTACTTAAGGAGTTAGTCTTGGTTAAATCTATGTACGTTATATATGTACGTTTATCTGACGTTACGGTGAAGGAAAACATCATGATGCACATATCTGTGAAGAAATTCAAAGATATGTGTGAAGTCATTAACCGGGCAAGCATTGACTATTAACTAGATAACTTAGGGTAGACTCCGAGACCCTCAGTGGGGATGTATAGTGAGCTAATAAGCTACACTTTTGGATCGGATTAATCAGCAACTTGTAACTTAGTTCTCATCGATAAACTTTGGATAACGTTTAATGGATAATATTAGACATTACTAGTTGGAATTCTTTGTCGCGAATGGCGCGTTTTCATTACCAAGTCAAGTGTCAGAATGATTAGTGAGGGGACATAAACGTTGACGTTTTAATAAGGCAAGTGTTGCGCCGATATACCGGCATCGGATTTTCTACCTAACAGTATTTATTCTTAGGTCCAATGGATACAGGTCATGACAGAAGAAGGTCTCTGTCACACACTGAATTCTGTGTACGCGGAATATCAATTTCTGCGACAGGAAGATGAATGGATACAGCAAGAATTACTTAAATGTCATTACCATAGTGGACAGTGTTACCTCATGATAAATACAGCGTCTAATGTTGCAAGAGTAAGTTATAAATTGTTGCTAACTGAAGAAACTCCGTCCTCGCCGAATTAAAAATAAAAAAAATGTCTATGTGTTCGTCTAGACAATGTTCTACATCTATGTCAAATTTCAGTGTGATCCATGCAGCCGTTCTGGAGATATCTTCTAACAAACATCCATACAAACATTCGCATTTATAATATTAGTAACATTACTGGCTTTTGTCTACGACTATGAAGTCACATTGCTGATGATAGAACAGATTAAAAAGGAGGTTTCAAGGTACATGTAACGAATTATACGCCAAAGACTAATCAAAATTGATCCAGCCTGACCAAATCTTACGTCTTACTAATATTATAAATGCGATTGTTTAGATAGATGGATGTTTTTGATGTTTGTTTGAAGGTATCTCCGGAACGGCTCAACGGATTTTAATGAAATTTGTCATACATATAGAACATAGTCTGGAAGAACACATAAGGTACTTATTAAGTTTGTTTTTAATTCAACGTAAACGGAGTCGCGAGTTCGTTTTTTAAATATCATTAGAAATTATAATTACTTTTGAATTTACAGTACTTCGTGCATTCGCCCTTCGATATAGCTACAGCGATATCTAATCCGACAGGAGAAGTTATGCCAAATGAAGAGTTACACATAGATTATAAAGTAAATATTGTTACTTTTTAGACAAGTACATGATAATAGTAAAAAATATAATCATTTTAATGTATTAAAAGTCACAAAATAGATTTAAAATCGATTTATAAATTAATTAAGAACATCTTAACTCACGTTCCATCCACACCATCTCGATGGCTCTCAATCCACAACCGTGCGGTTTGCGCGAAACTTCTTGCCTCGCACAGCAGCATTGTGGAACGGTCTGTCCTCGGCGGTATTTCCAAACCGCTATCACTTAGGGTTCTTCAAGAAGCGAGCTTATCACCACCTAAAAGGCCGGGGCAACGCATCTGCGGTTCCTCTGGTATTGCTGATGTCCATGGGCGTCGTTGAACACCTCGGTGTTCCCGCTGCTCGTTTGCCCGCTTCTATTATAAAAAAAAAACGTATAACCGGTTCGAACCCGTCGGTTTCGCATTGCGGCTACGAGAGAGGCAGGCCCGACCGCGAAGAATCCTAAGTAACGATTCGTCCTGAAGATGGACTCCCGACGGATCCGAAACTAGTGGATGCCGTCACCTGATCTTACATGAGTTTAGTCGCTTCTAATTAATTTATTATAATGTCTCATTAAAGTTATTTACGAAACGAAATAACAGTATTAATCTATATTAATTAGTTAGCTTTGATTCCTGACTACTTAACAACGTAGTATTGAAATAGAGTATTAAAAAAAGGAATTATAAATTATGCCATTATCGTCAGGTCGTGGAAATTCAAGCTGCATCACGTGTGAAGACCTTAACTCCTGAACAGAGACGATGTCGTTACCCCGATGAATGGCTTAGCAACTCTATAAAGGTATACGAGATTAAATATGAAGTGAGAATTTAAAAAATTAAATCGAAAATAAAATATACGCCGCATCTATAGTGTGCCATCTCTTATATAACATTTATCAAGATAAATGGATAGCCCATTGCTTGGAAATGACAGCTCTTGTTTCGTTCCGATTATTAGTTCGAATTCTCGCCACTACAAATCGCTACCATCAGTGCCAAAATGGTGAAAATCATATAGGCACAAAATACGACGTCTTTTAGCCAATCCATTTATAGAGTTCAGGGAATGTAGCTGTGTAAAATTGCAAATTTATAACTTTTTTTTAAAATAAGTAATTCACGTTTTCTTTTACAGGCATACAGTTTTGGTCTATGTCAGATGCATTGTCGCAATCGTATGGCGATCATGTTTTGCGGATGTCGCCCTTATTTCCATATTAAAGGAGGTGATATAGATGCTTAATCTTATATATAAAATTCTCGTATCACAATTTTCGTTCCCATACTCCTCCGAAACGGCTTCACCGATTCTCATGAAATTTTGTGAGCATATTGAGTAGCTCTGAGAATCGGACAGCTATTTATGAATCGAAAGCTAATTCTGAATATAACTCTCCATTAAATGTTCACTTTAAGTTTAATAGCTGTCGCAACTCCGTCCGCGCAGGATTAAAAAACTTAATTAGTAGCCTATATGCTCTTCTAGACTATGTTCTACATCATTGCCAAATTTCATGCAGATACATGAAGACATTCTGGAGATACCTTCAAACAAACATCCATACGTAAAAGTCCGCTGATAGTTGTGTTACAACGATAGTTAAACTATTTCGTTCCTTAACCTTCTTTAATTTTGAACCAATAAAAGTTGACACTTGAAAAAAAAATACCAAACAATCAAACGTCATTTTGTCAAACTGTCGCACATATTTTATGAATTTAAATTATTAACCAAAGCTAAATTTCATCTGTAAAAAAATATATAGCAATAGTGTTATTTTTTATTATTAAAATTTAAAACTTTTAAAATATAAATTTCGTTGAACGACCATTTTGTGATAAAACAAGATGGCGACGTGTGCGATGCGCACGGGATGGCTTGCATCGGCAGGAACGTCGAAATACTCATCAATTTGCCCAAAAATCTTGCAAAGTGCTCTTGTCTACCCCAATGTTCCGAACTCAACTACTATTCTCACACAAAAAAGGTCCTTGTTCGGTAAGATTTTTTTAAAATTTATTTTGTAGGTTAGACGTCACGTACGCGGTATTATTATGCCTAGTTTACATTATGCCCGTACAATAGGACAGTAGCGCTGGCCTCACATGGTCTGTTTCCGCACAGTGCCCGGTAATGTTAACATTATGCCAGTTGTATGCCAGCGCTGGTTTTGTGCGCTACTATCCTACTGTACTGGCATAATGTAAACCAGGCATTACTGAAAAAGACAACCTTTCTTCCTTCTCTGATGACGTCATATTGGCGTTTTTGCTTTGTAAAAATAAAAAAAAGGCATATGGATGCACTTAATTGTAACTGAATAATATAGATAATACGCAGGTGTAAAGGCCAAGGAGAAATTGACGAGGTTTTCCTAAGATTGATTGGACTCGTATCACCAAGACCAAGTATGATATTACGTATTGGTATTCGTCCAAAGAGGTTTCTATTTTAATGTGATGTTGGTGGAAATCATTGTTAGTGTCATAAAATAAGGTTTTATTTATTTTTTGTCATGGAATTAGTAATGAGACCGAAGAAGAGGATCCAAAGGCAATAGCGAGATATAATCTAATGTCGCCCAGATTCAGGCTGCATAGAGACGTCATCTTTAGTCTGGAAGATTTGTTCGGTTCGTTGATTGTTTTGTAACGTCGATGTCTGAGCGAAAATTTTAATTTGATTTTAAAAGAGCACTGGCTTTGTAAAAAAATGGGTTGCTTTTTATATAAATTTTACAGTAAAGACAAAAGCTTAGAGGACATGCAGCCAGATTGAAGATGTATTTCGTTTTTAATTCACAGCTTCACTCGGTGGGACAACGGCATTATTTGTTGGAGCCAGCGTTCTCACAGTTGTTGAGACGGCGCTTTTCATAATTCGATATATTGTTGATGTTATACTTATGTGGTTTGTGGTTGATTTTAAATCTAGGTTGCATTTTAAAAGATCTTAAAATAATTAATGTATTGAGCCTATAATCGAGTTTTATTTTATCCGACGATACTTCCTATATTCATTCAATTATTATATTTTTTTCTGCTCCTGAAAACGATCATTGTTACTTTAAAAAGCGACTTCGTTGCTATGCTTAGCGTCTAACGCTACACACGTAAAAAAGTTTTAACCAACAAACTCTATTGCAACAAATAATTATGGCTCTCTCATTTATCTTTGTAAATAATTTTTCGTTCGTATTGTAGTATTGCATAAGCATCTTGAATATTAAGAAGTATAATCAACGATAGGTTTTTTGAAAGATTTCTTATTTTATTTGTTCTCAAAACAATTCCTTATAAAACATGTTTATTAAGAGTAAGATTATATTATTTTTTTAATGTAATTCTCTGTATTCATTGTTTAGTTAAGATGTCGTCATCGTTTTACGAAATTAGGAAATCAATTAAGGTTACTTAGTGAAAATTGGAACGCAACTGTCAGTTTGAGCCCCACCTTCCCGGTCCTGGATTGTATTTATTTATTTTTGAAAATCATAACATAGATTTTCATTAAATGTAGTAAATAGGAATAGAAATATGTTCATCGTCGTCCTAAAATTTATATACCACAGTGTTTATTATGTTATTTCATTTATTTATACATTTATTTTGGTATTACACACAGTGCTACCGATCGGTCTTGATGTTGGGATACTTGGAATCACGGCGTATTTTATAACAAGATTAAAAAAGGCAGACCCTACTAATGTCGCACAGATATTTGGACCTGATCCGTGGAGTAAGGAAAGTGAATTACATCCAGAAAAAGTGGTAAAATGTATCGCCCATAGAGGGGCGAGCTTAGATGCTCCAGAAAACACTATGCAGGCTTTTAAATACGTAAGTTTTCTTTTTAAACCATTAATTTATAAATACTCTGACTATATTATGTGCACAAAATCTAATTGCCTTCTTTTCTTTATAAAAAGTAGTTGGATAAGCAAAAGAACTAAAATTTGGCTTTAGGCAGACGTAACGCGTAAATACTTCCATTTTCGCCTGTTTCTATGTGGTCTCCATTTGAGCATTAGCTAATACTGCTACAGACTACTGTTAAGTTTTTTTTTACTGTATTATAGCCAAGAAAAGGACATCATAATAAATACAATTTTTAATATTATTCCAGTGCGTAGATAGAGATTGTAACTTTGTGGAGCTGGATGTCAGGTCGTCTCGGGATGGTCATTTGGTGCTCCTGCATGATGAGGGATTGGGTCGATTAACCGGTACGGAGATAAACAATGTCCATGTTATGGATTGGGATGAGATCAAGAATATTGATATTGGAGCTAATCATCCAAACAGGTACGGAAATAATTATACCTCCTTCTATCCCACCGAGTGTGGATGGCGCAGTGGTTAAACACTTGACCTGTAATCTGCAGATCCTGGGTTTAAATCCTGCCATGTACATACCAATTTGTCTCAATTTGTTATTTACATATGTACATTTTATCCGACGTTTTTATGATGAAGGAAAACATAGAGCTGTTCTATGCAGATATATGTTTCTCTGAAAAAATTGAAAGATATGTGTGAAGTCAACCTTCAAAATCCCAGCATCAACTATGGCGTAGTCACTTAACTTAGGCTCTGAATGCAACTCTGCGGCCATTACATAATTTCACTTTTTCAGTTATTTTATGAATTATAGTAATATTGTAACTAATTTTATGCTAGATAAAATATTTTACCAGAAATTCTCTAAAGTGAAGTTTCAGGATTGGCATGAAATAAAGATTTATATAACTTTGTTTTCAGGCAACAGTTTAAAGAGGTGCACCTATGTTTGTTGGATGACGCACTCAAATACCTCCTGGCTAATGATGTTAGAGTCATAATTGATGTCAAGGGTGAAGACAAAGAGGTGATTTATTCGACTCTGACTGTATATGACTCCGTCTGCTCAAATAAAAAAAAAACTTACTTATGTGTACTTCCAGACTATGTTCTACATCTATGCCGCAGTTCTAGAGATACCTTGTAACAGACATCCATCTAAACATTCACATTTATAATATTAGTGAGATAACAGTATATTAAAACTGAGGCGGAACATGTTGCAGTTCTGTCATAACATATGTATAATAATAGACATAGAATATGCTTTAACAGTGGTAGAGCCCGCTTTAACATCTTCGCACGAATTAGCCCGGCTCTCCCGGTGAAATACCACCATCTCACAGAAGACAGGCGTCAAGTGGAAGCAATTCCAAGTACAATCTGATGAGTGTGCGTCCCGGAGGCCTCATTTAGTCCTCTTTCCCTTCCCACACTTTTTTTTATAAGGAAAGGATAGGAAGTGGAAGTGGACTTTCCGGATGAGAGGATGCATAGGAAGGGAAAATATTTTCTTTCTGTGTATCCTCTCCTCCGGCGATTAAAGGTAGGCAACGCATATACAATTATTGCGTATGTCTGTGGGCAGCGGTCGCCTCGCTATTTCAGCTAATTACAGTGGTAGACATTAACATCTGTTCCATTCAGTGCCTCGTCCATTGCAATAACGCGACCACACAACACATACCTCAAGTGGGAATTCATCCAAGTACAGTGATAAGTCTGTCTGTGGCCTAATTTAAGGCCTCTTTCCCTTCCCACTCTTGTAAGAAAAGGATGGGAAGGGGCATTGGATTTTACGAAAGAGAAAATTCATAAGAAAGGGTTTTCTTTCTGTGTGTCCCATCCATCGTCGATTAGATGTAGACAACGTATCTGCAATTGCGGATGTCTATGGACTCGCTTCGCTATTACGGTGAATTCAGAGAGGTTAGACAAAGTGCGTTTCAATTCAAAGGTTGGCTTTTCAACTTCAAAATTGTATGGAACTGAGGCGCGACAAACACGTGACTTATCCAAAGTTATTGTCCGTTCTATACATTATTGAAGTTCGTTATGGAATCGTAGCGAATGCAGTTTGTCTAACCTCGCTGTCCGTTTGCTCGTTTTTTATCTTTAAATGTTACATTTTAAATATCTTTAGGTGGTGGAAGGTATTGTGAAGGCGTTTTCTGACCAGCCGACATTGCACCAACGTGCTGTGGTTACAAGCTTCAATCCTTTTGTTTTATATAGGGTATGTTTTTTGGGAAATTCCTATTTTTTTATATTTTACTACATGTGGGCCGCGACTCCGTCTGCGGGGGAGTAAAAAATATGTGTTCGTCCAGACTATGTTCTATATGCATGCTTAATTTCATCGAGATCCAATCAACGTTCTGAAGAGAATTTCAAACAAACATCCATTCATCAAAACATTCGCATTTATAATATTAGTAAAACGACCTGTATCTAATGTTTAAAAAAATAATGTTTAGTACTTTATTCCTTTTTACAGATTAGGCACAAAAATCCTAAGATTGTAGGCGCGATGAGCTACCGTCCTTATTGTTTTAGCGCGCAGGACTATGACGCTGAGAATGGACCTAGCAATCCTAGGTATGAAGATAAAAATAAAAAAAATGTCTATGGTTGATTATTCTTGTATTATAACAATGTTTATGGGGCAGGTTCGGTGGTAACATGCTGGTACAGGGTGCGCTGCGGTTGGCGGATTGGGTACACGCGCGCGCTTGGCGACTTTGCGCGCGCTGGTGCGGTGTCAGCGCGGTGTTACTGCACAAGGATATTGTACACCCGTTAGTAACTGTAGTACACATTTTAGTAACTATGGTATATCTGATGTATGTGACACGTGAACGAAGTTATTGTACACCAGTCAGTAAGTATTCCATACGCGTTAGTAACTATAACTGTTATGACCAGGTACATGATTTTGTTGTACACTCGTTAGTAACTATAGTGACTGTACACGTGATAGTAACTAAGTTATATCCGTTATAAGGAGGTGCACGATGTTATTGTATACACTTTAGTAACTATTTAACACATGTTACAAACTATGATAACTGTAGTACACACATTAATAACTTGGGGACAACTTTTATATCTAGATGTATAATTTATTATGTGCTCTATGTGTATATTATATGATATTTTATATTATATATTTTTATTAAATGCATTACAGTAGCGAGGTGCAGTACTGGAGGTCGCGCGGCGTGCGCTGCGCCGGCTGGTCTGTCAACCGGCCGCTCGAAAAGCTGTATTGGCGCGGTGTGCTGCGCGCCCCGTACCTCGCTAGTACACTGCTGGGAGAGCCCGATGTAAGTATACTACTAGTGGTGACGCTATGAATAGTATTACCACTAGTACTGGTATTACCAATAGAATAAGTATTACCAATAGAATTGGTATTACCACTATAGTTAGTAGTACCATTAGAACTTACTAGTCGGTAAATAAATTGGCAGTAGTGTACAATCAGAACTAGTAATACTATGACTTGTATTACGAACAAATCAGGTTTGACATGTGGACCTGTCAGAGTAGACCTGATACCTATTGGTAACACAAGCATAAGAAAACCAAACCTTTTAAAATATCAGTGATAGTTTTTATGTAACCACTTTATAGAAAATTCACTACTAAACTAAAAAAAAATGTTTTCTCTACAGGTGTTTTTAGTAATATCTTAGAGAAGCACTTTTCAGTTTTTGCGGAATTGTGAAAAAAGCTTAATTAGCGTATGCGTTCTTTCAGAGTATTTTCTATGTATGTAACAAATTTCATCAAGATCCACGTAGCAGTTCTGGAGATACCTTTAACAAACATCCATCTAAACATTCACATTTATAATATTCGTAAGATAATAGTATATTTTTTTCAGGTAGATGACCAAAGGCGTGTCGAAAAGCGAGCCGTTAAAGAGGTCGAATAAGATTCTAAATTCAAATTGTATTTGAATTGTTTTTTAAAAAAGATTTGGTGTGTTCGTTATGCAGTACAAGTTTGTGCAATAATTTTAAAGAAAATTATTTGTTTTGTCGAAGTTTCCTATTTTTTTTTAAATCGAGTCTAGTCTGACAAAGTATAATCTATGACTTTTAAAATGGTTTCATTTTTTTGTAACTTCACTTTGACATTTGACTTGGCGGGTGATATTTTCCAGTTTTTAAATTGCTGCAGCTATTCACGCTTGCAACTTAAGTGTCGGCAGGGATTTGATTTCTGTTGTAAGGTTGTTGTTAAAATATTCGAAGTTAATTTTTGTATACATTCCTTAATTTAGTCGAACAAAAATAAGTTTTAAATATTTATTTATTAAACAATTCACGTAAAAAAATATTTATAAATTTCGAATATGAGTACAAATATGTATAAACGACTTATTGAACGACAAAAACGAACATTTTCGACTTTCACCAATTTACACAAGTGATTTAGTTTTAAAAATGTTTTTAATATATGAGGCTATATTTAATATTTTTTGTTTACAATGTTTTAAATTGTTTATTTATAAAAAAAAATATTTACAATTGTTTTAAATTTTTAGTTTTAATTCTTGACAAAATAGAAAAATTCAAACAAATTTTTCTCTGACATTCTAAAACTAGATACTGACCGACGTTACGAGGTGTAATGTTACACACACCCTGAATAAGTGTTACGGGGTACTTATTACGGTAATGTTACGGCATGAAATCTCGTTTTGTAACATGTTACATTACACCTCGGAACGTCGATTATTGTTAAGTAAATTACAATGAAATCTCCACATACTTTAATTAGTAAAATCGCGAGTATATTTTTTCCATTGAACGAATACATTTGTAAATTTGGCAGAATTTATTATTTGTAATTGTTTGAGATGTTTATTGACCTTGATATATTTTCTTTTTAAAAATTATACGCTTTAAAAACTAAAAATGATATCAAAACGCCAGCTGTTTTAATTAAGGCGTATATTTAAAGTTAAGTATTTCAAAGTATTATTTTCACCAAAAATGTGTATATATTTTTTGCACAATGCAATTTAGTTTTTATGATAGCACTGCTTATATTTATTTTGATTTATATATGAATTGTTGTTAATATTTGCACTTATATCGAAGTTTGAAAAGTCTAAGAAAGCTTTGTCCAAAATAGAAATTAGGAAGAAAACAAAGAAGCAGATTGTGCTTTTTTTAGACTGTCTGGTCTTTGTCAGTTTCAGGAGAATTCAAACATTTTATACATTGTCGTAACGGAACTAGGTGGCAATTTTTTCTTATATATTTGATGTGCGCGTGATTTGTGATTGATTTGTGCAATTTTGTGGCTTGTTTTTTATCGCAATAAAATTATAAACACGACTTGGGTTTCTTTCTATGTAAACATCGGCGTAGACTTTTTTCTCGGCTCTATTTACTTATTAAATAATGTCGACGACTTTTTTTCTTGGTAACTGAGTTCTCTTTTTGTTGTGGTCTCTTTTTTTAGATAAAGCTGATATCATGTTTTTACGTAAATGTTTTCGGAAATGCGAATTTCATACATGCCAATAATTCCGTTGACAAATTCTCTTGAAGCGAGCAGCCACAGAGTATAAACAGCTAGAGGGTGAGATGTCGTCTGAAAACAGTCAAAACTTTAATCCACTTCTATCTGCTTCCTTCAAAGACAATTTAAGAAGAACTACAACCATTTCCATTATGTTAATTTGTTCATCCAGAAATACAGTGATACCCATTTTTGAACAAAATAAAGCTTGGTATCCATTATTTATACTTTTTACCTAGAATCACGTAAAGAAATGAGTGTTTTACTATTAAAAATTCAAATTTACTGTTACTTATGTATAAAACAAAATAATTTAATTACAACTAAATTGCTATTTTTTTACTAAAAGTATATTACAAAATGTAATTTTATTTTGATGTAATCTGAATGTGAATACCATAGCCAATTTCCGAACGTAGTCACAATGTTCTCAACTCAACCATCTTGACAGGTGCCACCAACTGGATTTTAATGGTGTTCAATAGAAGGCGAGGATTTACCAGGTTACGATAAATGTAGGACTTGGGCTACATCAAAAATAACCAGCAGCGTCCAAAATAAAGTGAAGTATCAATTGTACGTGTCGCACCGGCTATGCTGTAACTTACAAAATCGATTAAGACTCGATTTTCAACTAATACGGCTGAATCGAATCTGTCATGAGACTAAAGCTTATGTAACATTTTTTTCACTGAAATTATTAAAACTCTCACATATCAGCTGTTTACCACATCTGTAAGGTAAGGGATATTCATTAATTATTATTTTAATGTTTTTACAACTTAATCTAACCTTCATTTTCTTTTGAGTGTCTTATCTTAATCCATCATTTTAATCAATAATTATAAACATTTCGATTCAAATTATTCGTTAAATTGCTTCTTTAAATTAATAATTATATTCATTTAATTAATAATTACCGCATTCGATTCTTCCACATTCTAACCTGTCATTACTGAAATGTCAATTTTATTCTTTTCTTGTAAATCCTCTTTCATATTTTATGCCTGCATTTTCAATTGCGATATAATTTTAATTTTCCTCTTACCAATTAAACACACAATATTATATATTTAAGTAATAATAATATAAAAGAATAATTCATTAAATAATTTGAGAATTTTATTTAAAATATATTTCGTAATATTGATTAAAATAAAACTTTTTATGACAGATGATTACTTTTCATTACTTCAAAATGAACAGACCTTGTTATATTTTGTCTATTTACTTTTTATCAAATATAATATCACAAAATTTGTATGTATAAGAGTTAAAATGTGAATTTATTAGTAGTAAGAGTTAACAGATATTTATTCTGGCTTTAGTCAACATAGATCATTTAACACGATAATTTTTTTTAATTTTCAAGTTGAAAAGTTTATGCTGTGTCTAGTTTAAATAGTACAAGATAAAAAGAAAAACATGATGGTATGTTTTTTTTTAATATTCTTTTGTACATAATAGTGAGATATCATAAAGCAGCCATCTTGTAGCAAGAGTTTAAGATGAGTTGTTTATGTTTAATATAAAAAATAGAGTGTAAAGAGTGTATTGGCTCATTTAAATCTCTCTTGTTAAGCATGACTTTACCTAAGTTGGTGGTGACTAGGCAATAGTCAATGCTGGCTCAGTGCGGGTTGACTTCACACATGTCTTTGAATTTCCTTACATGTGCGGTATCATAAAGATTTCCCTTACTGTAAGAGTAAGATAAATGTACATATGAAATTATTTAATCAATCATCATCAGCTCACTATAAGTCCGCACAGAGGGTCTCGGAGCCTATCCTAAGTTAAGGGTGATTAGGTTATAGTCAACCATGCTGGCCAACTGCAGGTTGACTTCACACATATCTTTGAATTTCTTCTCAGATATGTGCAGCATCACAATGTTTATCTTCACCGTAACATCGGATAAATGTACATATGTAAATCGGAAATCGAAATACAAATTGTTACATGGCGGGAATTTAATTATTGAGGCTTTAATATTCAAAATTGTTTAAATATAAAATTGTGGTCTTATTATTTTTCATTAGTTTAATATAATATGGAACATGTTATCTCATCTACATCCTGTTTGTTGTTTTTTGATGTATTTTATCATAAACTTTCAAAACAATTCATTTATACATTAACTAGCTGTCGCCCACAACTAAAAAAACTAAATTATTAGCCTATGCGTTCATCAAGGCTATGTCTGCTATTCTGGAGATAATTTATAACAAACATCCATTCATCTAAACCAGTAGTTCCCAAACTTATTTTGTCTACTGCCCACTTTAAGAATACATATCTTTTAGCGCCCCCATATTTTCATATATTTAAAAACAACTATAACTTCAAATTAAATTAATTAATTATTGTGACCTATATATGTATATTAACGGAGAATTCTAAACGAAACTTTTACTATAACCTGCAACTTGAGACCTGCAGCGCCCACAAGGGGGCGTTATTGTCCACTTTGGGAAAGACTGATCTAAACATACACATTTATAATATTAGTAAGTTTTAGGTGTATTATGTAACATTCATATTGACAAGTTCACTTTCTACATTGCATCATAACTTATAGATAAATTGTTGCTATTAGTGATAGAAAAAAAAAAGATTTTTATTAACAAACATTGATAAGATAATTTGAAGTGTCATTCAGAAATCAAAACAAATACACATATGATAAAGAATGCCGCAGACTCAGAGGTTAAAGCACTTGTCTGCAGATCTTGGGTTTGAATCCCAGTATTTACCAATGTGTTTTTTCATTTACATATGTATTTTAACCAATGTTACGGTGAAGTAAATAACTGTGATGCTGCGCATATCTGAGCAGTTTCAAAGATGAAATGGTAATTTTGTAGACTGCAAGGTTAGAAGTTTTTTTTCATTAAAAGATTTATTACAGCATTGTTATTGAGAAAGTATGTCATTTAATTGACTTTATGTGTGTAGACTCAGGAGTCAAGCACTTACAATCTGCAGGTCCTGGGTTCGAATCCCGCCATGTACCAATGTGTTTTTCCATTTCCTATTTACATATGTACATTTATCCGACTTTCTTACGGTGAAGGAAAACATCGTGATGCAACCTGCACATGTTTGAGAAGAAATTCAAAGATATGTGTGAAGTCAACCCGCACTTGGCCAGTGTGGTTGACTATGGCCTAGTCACCGTTAACTTAGGGTAGGCTCTGAGCCCCTCGGTGGGGACGTATAGTGAGCTGATGATGATGTATGGGAAAATATATGTAAGACACTGTTTAGTTAAACATGTGTTTTAACCCTTTGAATGCCGGTGTAGGATATGGACGTCAAAGTGGTTTTATGTTTCACCAGATTTTATCATTATTATTTATTCATTTGTTTAGTGCATCAGTGGCTCAGTGGTTAAGCACTGAACTTGGAATCAGCCGGTCTAGGGTTTGAATCCCAATATGTACCGATGTGTTATTCAATTTTAGATTTACATATGTACTTATTCCATGTTTTGGAAGAAATTCAAAATGTGTGAAGTCAACCAAGCCGCACTTGGTTACTGTGGTTGACTAGCCTAGTCACCCCTTAAGGGTAGGCTTCGAGCCCCTCAGTGGGGACGTATAGTGAGCTGATGATTTACTGTTCAAGTACTCATTTTACAAGCTTAAGAATAATGTTTTCAATAGCCATGATTTGTTAAAAATTCACTATGGCTGTTAAAATCATGGTATACAAAGGTTGACTTATGATTTAGCTAAAATGTATTTGTAACATTGTCTTCATTATTGTAAGGCCCTTTGTATTCTAAAATAAGTCTTAATATATATTTTTTTTAATTCCAGGGTAAAATAAACTTGAATAAAAATGTTGCGACGCTGCTCGAAACATTTACAAACGTTATATCGGAGACAGGGGCAAAGCCTCCGGTATCGCACCACCGATGTGCCCAAAGCCCTAGGCGCTCTGGGTCAGGCGCGACCGGTACCAGCAAGGATCCTCGCCGCACACCAACAGGTCGCTTCCATACATTTCACCAGACCACTCTACGAAGAACAAGATGTCTCGACCCCAGGTTTCCCGGACTCAGTATCTGAAGGTGACGTCAAGCTAGACAAGAAAGTTGGAGACGCTGTGGCCGCTGATGAAGTTGTCCTTGAAATTGAAACCGATAAAACCGCGATCCCCGTGATGGCACCAACTCATGGCGTTATCAAGGAATTATACGTAAAAGATGGGGATACGGTTAAAGCTGGACAAAAGTTGTTTAGGTTAGAAGTGACTGGGGAGGCACCGAAGAAGGCTGCGGCTGCACCAGCTCCCGAACCACCCAAAGCGGAAGCACCTCCCCCGCCTCCTGCCGCGGCTACTCCACCTCCACCTCCCCCACCATCTACCCCCACACCACCACCAACTCCTCCACCAAGGGCGACACCCCCACCTGCCGCACCTATCTCCTCAATCCCGGTAGCAGCTATAAGACACGCACAGGCGATAGAAACTGCCACAGTTAAAGTCCCACCAGCTGATTACAGCAAAGAAATCTCCGGAACACGAACTGAACAGCGTGTTAAAATGAACAGGATGCGTCAACGCATCGCACAACGTTTGAAGGACGCGCAGAATACCAACGCCATGCTGACTACGTTCAATGAAATAGATATGTCTCATATTATGGCGTTCCGTAAAAAGTATTTGGATGCTTTCACCAAGAAACATGGAGTTAAACTCGGTCTTATGTCACCTTTCGTTAAGGCCGCAGCAAATGCTTTGACAGACCAACCAGTAGTCAACGCAGTTATTGAAGGGAATGAGATTATTTATCGTGATTATGTCGATATCTCAGTCGCGGTGGCAACGCCTAAAGGCTTAGTCGTGCCCGTCATTCGCAATGTACAAACGATGACGTATTCCGACATCGAACTGACAGTTGCAGGTCTTGCTGAAAAAGCAAGAACGGGCAAATTGACCATCGAAGAAATGGATGGCGGTACTTTTACAATCAGTAATGGCGGTGTATTCGGATCTCTTATGGGTACACCTATAATAAATCCACCGCAGTCCGCCATTTTGGGTATGCATGGCATTTTTGAACGGCCTATTGCGTTGAATGGTCAAGTAGTTATACGACCAATGATGTATATCGCGTTGACGTATGATCATAGATTAATTGATGGCCGCGAAGCTGTCATGTTCCTGAGGAAGATTAAGGAAGGCGTCGAGGATCCGGCCACGATTATTGCTGGATTGTAATTTAAAAAAAAATCGAGCTGTCAAAACGTGTAGATAGAGTAGGCGGGTTATATTTATTATTATTTTATTAATATATTTTTTGCAGCGCAAAAATCTTTTTGCTAAATATTTAATTATGTAATTTTTAATATTACATTTTTTTCGAAACTCCCCTGCTCTATAAATTATCTTTAGACTCAATGTTACCAATTACTTTTGCCAGATCTGTGAAATAAAAACCGAATTTGACAGCGGCTTGTACAGCTTTTTTGTCTTCTGAGTGTTGGCAGAATCGTGTAATTTTTTTTACATTATCTGTGTTGCGTCATGTTTGGCAAGATGGCTGCCGTGCGTTGTGCAGTTAATTTTGTATTTATTGAATACGTCCGTTTACGTATTATTTATCGAGAATTAAGTAATTTTAATAAACGAAAGTACATTTCCTCAATATGACTAAAAGTATTGTTGTTTTATTTGTTAATTTATTTTATTTCGTTACGTCACTGCTTAATTAAACGTATATAAAAATATAAATATTGTATTCATTTGAAATCTCGATTGTATGAAACCAGAACACCTAAATACACATTGAGTAAAAAAACAAATTTTATTTTTGAATATACTGATTTCAATTTGAGTACAAGAATCAACCTAATAAAAATTCGTATATCCTACCTATCACCCATATTAAACGACGGTGTGATTATATTATTACCATGGTTATAATTTGAAGGTAGGTACTGGCAACATTTCACTATGGTAACTCTTACGTCTGGCAGAACAGCAAGAATGTTTTTACCCCGTAACCATGGTAACGTAATAAAAAAATATCAATTCAAATTTAACATTTCGATTCATTGCATTTGTGAAACACTGTTTATTGTGTAATATGTATAAATAAATAATTGTCTTTAACACGTAATGTGTTAATTGAACAGTGAATAAAGACTGGATATAAAGGTTAGTTAATTTTATGTCCTACTAGCAGTCGCCCGCGACTACGTCCGCGGGGAATTAAATATACTTCATTCTAAACTATGTTCTATATCAGCCTAATTTCATAAAGATCCGTTGAGCCGTTCTGGAGATACATTCAAACTAACATCTGTAAATTCTTGTCTTAATCTGTAACCTTATTGCACCTTCCCACCATTCTCACCCATAAATTTATTCCAGCGATTCCAGCAAACATTACTACGGAAGAAGAAAATCGCAAAGATTTCTTAATTTGTAATTATTTCCAGATAAATAAGAATATAAATTAATTCGAAATGCAAACTCCTTCGAGGAGAAATATAGAGAAAATAAGGAGTAAAGATAAGGTCAAAACGGATGGATCAGTAACATCACGTAAATGTGAAGACGAGAAACCTAAAAAGTTAATAACAACTCCTAGAAATTATTTACAAAATACATCCACATCTGATATTTATGGTAAAAAGAAAGGCGATGTTTCTCAAGCACCGAAAAAAGCTTTTTCAACAACGTTAAATACCGCTAAAAATATGTCGCCGATGAAAGATTATTTGAAATCTAATTCAACAGTTAGCGTGCGTAAAACATCAACAAAGATGGCGGCCGAAAAAAAAGTTGAGACAAAAGTAAATTTACATTCAGCCAGAACGCCGCGTATAGTAAAAGCTCAAGCACCAGCTAATGTTACTGTCAATTCACCAATTTTAAAAAGATCCGTGGAATTAAAAAAAGAAAAATCGAATTTAAGCATCGGTAGATCTAAGAATATAAATAATAAACACATTAAGGTTGATGAAAAATCCAATATGGCGGATATATTTTTGAGACAGCGATCGAAAACAAGAACGTTAGATGAAAATGAGGTAAAGGTTTTAAAAGCTGATGTGGACAATAACGCGGAAATGCAAAATTTGGCAAAAAGGCTTAACGCGAAACCGAAAGCTTTTTTTGTAGACTTGAACGGTGAAGAGGCAAAGGTAAGATTTTTTTACGTATTACTTTTTATTATTTAGTCAAAAACGTACTGAAAAAATAAAAAGATAACTAGCAACCTTATGTCTTTTAAACAATATACTAGACTATTATTTTATAAAATATATTTGAGCGTCTATTTCTACTAAAATCGCTGGGTTTCAAAGATTTACTTTGCCTTTTGTACGAATCGCCTAAAAGGTCTAAATTGGTCACAAAATTCCCTTAGTAGCACAAATTCACACAACCGATGATAAAACGATTCATACTAATCGAATTTAGCGGTAATAGTGATCTTAGTCTTAACTTCCTGCCAAAAAATCGAAACTCAGCATTAATAAAATGTAGGTAGATAAAGAAAAATCCAGTGAAGATGAAGTAAGTTATGAAGATGATTTCGAAAGTTACGAATCAGATTTCGATTCGTATCAAAGCGAATCTCAAAGTGACGGAAATTCTTCTAATAATCAAAACTCTGAAACAGAGGAAACTGATATTAATTTAACAACAAAAGACGAAATTAATATTAAAGAGAACGAAGAAAAGATGCTAGATTCAGGTGAGCATGTGTTTTCGTTTATATTTTTACTATTTTTTTTATGAATTAAGTAGCAGTCGCCTGTAACTCCATCCGCGCGGAATTAAACACTTAATTAGTAGTCTATGTGTTCTTCCAGACTATGTTCTACAACTATGCCAAACTTCATCAAGATCCGTTCAGCCTTTCTGGGTATACCCTTAAACAAACATCCACTTACCTATTCATCCAGACACTCGGAATTAAAATATTAGTAAGAAGTAAGAAGGATGGATATTTGTTTGAAGTTATCTCCAGAACGGGTGAACGGTTCTCGATGAAATTAAGCAAATACATAGAACATAGTCTGGAAGAACACATAGGCCACTTATTAAGGTTACTTTTAATTGCCCGCGGACGAAGTCGCGGCCGACAACTAGTTAGATAATAATTGTGTGACAAAATAATTTTTAAATAGGTAATTTTGATCTTCGAGACCCTCAGAGATCAGCACAGAAGATAACTCCACTTGATTTTATCCACGAAGTTACAGAGGATTTTGATAAAAGAATATCTTTGACAGATGAAGGTTTCCAGGACATGTCAACTTCTAGTGGCTTTAGTATGAAGACTGTCCATGTTGATGTCTTAGAAAGGTGAATGAGTGATTTACTTTTTTACAAGCGGCCTGCAACTCCGCCCGCGTGGAATTACAACATAATTAGTAACCTATGTGTTCTTCCAGACAATGTTCTATATGTATGCCAAATTTAATCGAGATCCTTTCAGCCGCTCAGCAGATGCCGCTATGCCTTCAAACAAACATCCATCCATCCGTCCATCCATCTAAACATTCGAATTTATAATAGTAAGAAATAAGATAATAAAACGTGACAAACGAGTAAGTGGCCAATTAATTTCGCTAATGTTACCAGATGCTTTGCCTACCTTTATAAGACACGAGGGGACGTACAAAAAAAATGTCCATTTCCTTTGTATCCCTCTCCTATCAAAATTCAGATAAAAATTAAAAATCATGTATTTATTTTTTCAGACCTATATTTATAGACTTTGCAGCATCAAAAATAAAAAGAAAAAAACGTCGCGTATTTCAACAGCTTGAACAAAGAGCGAAAGATATTTTAAGTATGGTAACACTACACGAAATGACGTACACTTTGTTTGAAATGCAACCGATACCGTATGATTTGTATATGGCAACATTTGGTGGTAGAAACTCCATGCAGGTCGCTGTACAGACATTTGACGATGGTGTCTCTCAAGATGTGCAAACTGAAGATATATTATATGAAAGTAAATGGACACAACATCCAATAGAGTTTTCAAAACATATTTTAAAAGAAAAAATACAACTAAGTACAAATAATGATTTTATTAGTAAATTATTTTATAAAAAAGACGATAAAACAGAAAAATACGATAAAGAAACTTATAATAATAATCAATTAAGGATATTCTTAGAACAAAAAGATGGAGTCGGTTCATATGAAATTCTACCACACGATATATATAAAAGTAAATTAAAGAATTGTAATTTCAATGTAAATAGATTGCAGAAGTTTTTAAAGAAAACGGAAAGTCGTATTAGTAATATTTTAAGTTTAAATGCTGGCAACACTGATATATTTAATTTGACAAAGAGCACGAAATTTCCTTTCAGCACAGGTTATATTACTATTAATAGTCAAAATAATACATTTTATAAAGATTTGAAAGTCATAAACGTAATATTTTCGGCAAATAAAAGTAATCTACTTGTAACGGTACATGAAAAATCTAATAAAGATTTACAGAAATGTGTTCTCTGTTTGTGGGATTTATCTGGTGTTTTAAAGGAGCCAATTAAAGTACTGATAGCTCCAGATAACGTTACAATTGGTCAATTCCGAGGAGGTACGGAGGGAATAATCGTCGCTGCGTTGGAGGATGGGTAAGGAGTTTCTTCTGGGTTCTTTAACAAAATGCACATCTAAAACGTGTAAATTCCAGAATTTTTCTGGAGAAACACTTCTCACGTAACTATATAATGCAAATATCCCACGGGAACCCTATTTAAGGATCAAAGGTAGCCTATGTGTTCTTCTAGACTATGTTCTACATTTATGACAAATTCCATCGAGATCAATCCAGCTGTTCTGTAGATATCTTCTAACAAACATCCATCCATTTAAATATTCTCATTTATAATGTTGGTAAGAAGTAAGATATCTCTTAATTTTAATAAAATTACGGAAAAAGTACCTAATGGCCGCAATGTATGTAATTTGACGTTTGTATATTTAATTTAGGTATTGTTTGACATATTTGAATTTCTTCTCAGAGATGTGTAATATTTCTACGATGATTTTCCTTCAACTTATAATTCATTTTAAAAATTTCTACAGATCAATTCACTTGTGGGATCTATCCGAAAAAGCTACTTGGATAAATACCAGTGATGAAAAAACTACCAATTCGGTAGAAATTGTTACCGATCGTATGACACAAACTGAAATTGACAGAGAATGGAATTTAAAGAACAGTACAATAAATAATAAAAAGGTTAGTGTAGATTTGATTAAATACTTTAATTTTTAAATATGGCTTTAGATCTTAAGACATGATCAAGTGGACAGTTAACAAAACTTAAATGCCAAGTTACAATTTAAATTTATTAATATTAATTAAAAAAGTAAAATCATACTTATATTATAAATTAATAATTAAAAGTGAAAATTACATATTAATAATTACGTTAGTTGACATAATAAAAAATATTCATTGATTACTGGCAATCTAGAATGCAATAGACAAATATAAATAAAAAGAAAACAATGACAGTTAATTGCGCGGGAAACAGTATGAGATGTAAAAGCAACAATGTAACAACGTTTTTATTGTGATTATGAAATTTTGTTTTCAATTGTAAATATTAGAGTTTACACAAAGTTTAAAATTTATTTGAGTGGAAAAACTATGATGTTTTAAGTTTGTGTGCTTGTTTTGTGCGTTTAAGTTTTTGAATCAACAAAAACAAATATTTTATGTAAGCCATTTTTACTCATCTCCAACAAAAAACGACAGAGTTTATTTAGTGTTTTTATATCATAAAGTGGCAAACGAGCGGCCACAATTGCTATAATAAGAAGCGACCGTTGCCACTAGACATTCGCAATTGTAGATACGTTGCCTACTTTTAATCGTCGGAGAAGGGGATGCACAGAAATCCTTCCATCTCCTTAGAGGCTTCAGGTATCACACCCATCAGACTGTAGTCGGAATAGCTTCGCTCTCGAGGCGTATCTTCTGTGTGGTCGTGATATTGCACCGGGCTGGCTAATTCATGTGAATATAATGCGGGCTTTACTACTGTTAAATTAGTTCTTTTATTTACGAATTATCAAGAAATTATTATATTTTTTTAGATAACGTCACGTCCAATGCAAATAAGTTCTTACACTAGTAGTGGAGTTAATATAATTGAGAAAGATATAAACGATTTTATCGTTGCTTTGGAGTTTATTGGGGAATCTTTGATCACCAGTCAGGATGAAGGCCGAAAAATTATAGCCCAGGTAAATAAATTATTATTTATATAATACTAGCTGTCGCCCGCGACTTTGCGTGGAATTTAAAATTTAATTAGTATGTAGTGTGCCAAATTTTATTAAAATCTGTAGATTCGTTTCGGAGGTACCTTCTAACATAAATCCATCCATCCATACATCTAAACTTCCGCCGTCATAATATTACTAGATTTTGCCCGTGATTTCGTCCGTGCAGAATTAAAAAAACTGAGTAAGTGTGTTTTTCCAGACTATGTTCTATATCTATGAAAAATTTTATCAAGATCCATGGTTCTGGAGATACCGTCTAACATACATCGAAACATTCGCATTTATAATATTAGCAATACGAGTCCAACGTATGTTAAGATGGATGTGTGGTGTGACGATGGATTAAATCTTACTAATATTATTATATAAATGCGAATGTTAAGATGGATGTTTGTTTGAAGATATCTCCAGAACCACGGATCTTGATGAAGTTTGTCATAGATGTAGAACATAGTCTAGAAGAACATATAGGCTAATTAAGGTTTTTTTTTAATTCGGGGCGGACGGAGTCGCGGGTGACAGCTAGTTAAAATAGATATATATTCTTGTTCTAGATTTGTTCATTGCAACGTAACGGTATATTAACAATATACTCAATAATTCAAGAAAGTACTAGAAAGAAGTCCAATGACATTGGTAAAACTTTTTGGTCAAAAATGGCGTTAGATAAAGTTCAAACAATAAATCTGATAGATTATTTAGATGTGATAAATATCGAAGTGCAGAATATAAATAAAATATTTAATATAAACGCTGCGAAACGTAGACTATGCGATAAGAGGTTAGAAAATTTGACATTAAGTTCCCGCCAATTTGATAGTGTTGCCAGTGATGGTAAAAAAATAAAAAAATATATGTCAAATATATGGGAAAAAGGAATTGTGTGTTTTGATATGAAAATAATAAAAATAAACGATACTGATAACTTTTTAATAGCTAAAAATTGTGGTGAAGTTTTACGTTGTATAAGATATAGTGGGATTTTTAAAGTTTTTAGGTTATGTGTTGCCAGTAAGTATTTTTTTTTCACTACTTATGTTTATTTGAAATTTAATTTACACTAACTTTCTAGTTGGATAGATATTTTTTTGATTTTCAGAAAATCCAAAAAAAAATTTAAAAAAATCTGACAGTATTATTTTAATATTTGCATTTATTTGAAAATAGCTGTCGCCCTTGATTCCATCCGCGTGAAATAAAAAAAAAACTTACAATTTTTTTTTACTGACGTAGCCTGTGTGTTATTCCAGACTTTGTTCTATATGTATGCCAAATTTCATCTAGATCTGTTCAGTCGTTCTGGAGATGTCTTCAAACAAACATACATCTAATCATTCGCATTTATAATATTAGTAGAAATAATTAAATTTAAACCCACTTCCTAGTAAACATGAAAATTACAAAAAAAAAAAAATTTTTGAACGATTTTCTTATCTGTTTATTATAAGCTGTTAACTGTAACTATAGCTACATTTAATTGTTTCCACAGATGATACATGTTCCATAACATGTTTAGAAACATCTCAGAATGGTTTACCAGTAATTCTAGCGGCGACAGACTCTGGGACTGTTAATTTATGTTCTATAAAAGATTTTAGAGTTCTCTTGACATTGGATTCCTGGTATTTATTAATATATTTTATTTATTAGTATTATTTTAACTATTATTGTAATGTATTTACGCATATGTATGTATGTAAATTTTATTGTTTATACTAGCCGTCGCCTGCGACTTCATTCGCAAGCAAAACCCTAATTAGTAGCCTATGTGTTCCAGATCAGTGGTTCCCAAACTTATTTTGTCTACTGCCCATTTTGCCCCATATTTTCTCATATTTAAAAACCACTATAACTTCAAATTAATTAATTATGGTGACATATATATGTATATTAACGGAGAATTGTAAAGGAAACTTTTACTATAACCCGCAACTTGAGACCTACAGCGCCCACAAGGGGGCGTTATCGCACACTTTGGGAAAGACTGTTCCAGACTATGTTCTTCAACCTTCAGTTCAGCATTTCAAAGATATGCAGCCGTGCTGGAGATACCTTCTAACAAACATCTATCAGTAATTGTTTTTTTTACAGTAATATTACTTCTAATTCATCGGAAAAATATAATACAGATTCCAAAGGTCGATATATTAGCAGTGTTCAAACGGATATATCAAATTTGAATCTTATTGGAAAGAAAAGAAAGGTAAAAATTGATTGACATCGAATTATCAATATATTAGGTCAAAGTTCTCTTATCATCATCATCAGCTCATTATACTCCAACTCAGAGTCAACCCAAAGTTAACTAGTTCATAGTCAATGCTGACCCAATGACTTCACACATATCTTTTAACACAGATATGTGCATCACGATGTTTTCCTTCACCTTAACATCGGAAAAACAGTACATATCAGGATTCAAACCCAGGACCTACGCAAGTAGACAATACAATAAATAAATAAAACAATAAATTTTAACAGTGGTAGAGCGAGCTTTAACATCTTCGCAAGAATTGTCCCGGCTCGTCAGGTGAAATACCACGACCATACAGAAGACACGCGTCAAGTGGAAGCAATTCCGCGTGCAGTCTGATGAGTGTACGTCCCGGAGGCCTAATTTAGTCTTCTTTCCCTTCCCATCCTTTTCTTTATAACGCAAGGATGGGAAGTGGAAGTGGACTTCCCGGATGAGAGGATGCATGGAAAGGGAAGATATTTTCTTTCTGTGCATCCTCTCCTCTGTCGATTAAAAGTAGGCAACGCATATGCAATTGCGTATATCTATGGGCAACGGTCACTTCGCTATTTCAGCGATTTCAGGTGACCGCTCGCTCGTTTGCCATCTTATAATATAAAAAAAATATAAGTCTCAGGTTGGATATTTTATTCCAGATGGCCATAAAATCTTTAATATGGCCACGTAGTAATCCTTTTGATATTATTGCTTTATTATATGATGGTACTCTGACCGCGTGGAGACTTACCAGCAGTGATATAACTTCAAGAAGAATCACTGAAGCCAGTTTTATTAATACCAATGGAAATTCTATGGTAAGTAATATTCACACGTTAAAATCAATTTTTTCATTTACATACACACTTCTTACTTATATAAAATATCTGTCGCCCGCGACTCCGTCCGCGTGGATATATAAAAAAAACTTAATTAGTGTAGCCCACCCATCCATCCATCCACAAAACATCCATCTAAACATTCACATTTATAATATTAGTAAGTTAAATAAAAAGCAGCTCTTCAAATGAATAAATAGTATCCTATGTCCGTCTCCTGGCTCTAAGCTACCTCCTCAACAATTTTCAGCCATATCAGTACAGTCGTTCTTGAGTTATAAATAGTGTTACTAACACCACTTTCTTTTACATATAATATATAGATAGATAGATGAATGGATGGATGTTTGAAGATATCTCAGGTTGTATGGATGTTGCTTAAATTTGGAATAGATGTAGAACAGACAGGAAACACGTAACTAATTAAGTTTTTTTAATTCCTCGCGGACGGAATAGTGGTACTTTGTGAAATTTTCTATGTCCTTGTAGATTTTACTAGTAACGGACCTACTATAACGCCCTGGGCGCAATTTCATGATCCCTTTTTGCGTAATTCATCTTTCTGTTACGCCCTGGGCGGATTGCTCTACCACGCCCTAACTTAAAGCCGGCCCTGGATTTTTACGTTTTCACAGAGCTAGCCAACATAGCGACTTTTTATTTGGTTTCCTTGTTAGATATGCAAGAATTTAGCATTCATTTGGATACTAGCGGTCGCCCGCGTCTCCGTGCGCGTCGAATTAAAAAAGAATTTGTAGCTTAATAAGTAGCCTATGTGTTCTTCCAGGTTTTCTTTTATATAAATGCCAATTTTACTTTAAAACAAACTTTCATCCGTCCAACTAAACATTCACATTTATAATATTAGTAAGATTTTAAATATTTTTTTCACAGGCTTTAGTAAGGAAAAACGAAGTTCAAATCTACAGAATAACTAGTGAGAAACATGAAGACAATTTGCAACTTTTTAAAAGATATCTCGCACATTTATAAAAATTTTATTCTAAGAAAACTTATATACAAATAAATTATTATAAAAGTAAAAAAAAAACAGTTTAATTTTTAAATTTGACGGTTTGATAACCGTTTGGTCTGACGTGACGTCATTGTTTAGTCAAATTTTAAGGCCTTTCGTACACAAGGTGACGTAAATCTTTGAAACTTCACGATTTTATTGACAAAGTGACTTACAGAATAAAATGTTATAGAGGTTTGTTAACGCGTCGCCGATATTTCTAGATAGTCGCTCGCAACCTGTTTGTCGAGATCTTCGTGACAAAAGTCGCTGCAATTTTCAATATGTCGAAGCTAAATACAGTTGACATGTCACTACGTCTGTACTGACAGTAGACTCGCGTCGACGATTCAAAGCAACGCAACTATACAATATTAATATCGGCGATTTAAGTTGCCTTGTACGACCGAACGACGACCTTGATAAATAGTTTGCGACCGGTTTTTGCGTCTGAGTACGAATAATTGTGAAATATTGTTGCGTAAGTCGCCTAACGACTAAAATCGCCGATTTAAGGTCCCTTGTGTACAAAGTGCCTAAGAGTTGATATATAATATAAATGTCAAAGTGAAGTGTTAGCCTTATTTTTATAATTATTTATTCTTCTTACTCTTCTTTACTTCTTTAACATTCTTCTTTGTTAATACGCTGACAATCTTCTTTAGAAGTAAATATAGAAGGAATAAAGCGGCGAAGACGACCGCTAGTTGATCTAACATCCAGAGTTCGTACCATTTGTACAATTGACTCTTTGAACGAAGATGATATGCTCCTGCAAAAAATATCAAATACACTAATCTTTTTTTTTCTTTTTATAGTGCAAGACAAAGGCCAACTCTATATCAGTACTGCTCATAGACATAAAACAGGGCCGGTTGTACCATTTAGGGCGCCCTGGGCGAGATTTTTCGGTGCCCCCCTTTTTTGTTCTGTTGCGGATAATCTTCTAAAGATAGAATATCTTAAGTGGCATCGCTACCATTATATCCGAAAGACAAGACGGACAGACAAAAATTAATAAAAAATGTGTTTCGTTATAAATCAAAAAAATATTATACATGATTTATTCACTATTGCATATAGAGGAATTATTATTTCTTATAATTTTAATATAAATACTTATATGTATAAAAAGTTAAAATGTCTGTCTGTGCGCGTTTGTCTTGGACAATCTCCGATTTCAAATCTACTAGCGCCCTGGGCGACATTACAACGCCCTCTTTTTTATCATACCTTTGGAGGGATTAACAGGGTTATGTGAGATTAACTCGCAGATACCCCTTTCTGTGCAGCGCCCTGGGCGGTCGCGGACGCCCTAACCTAACGCCGGCCCTGGCCTGTATATCCTAATGTATCATAATACTCACCTTTGCTTTCAATAGCCAACTCTACGTAATGTAGGATAAGTTTCCTCTGTGTGACAGGCCGACTGTTGAACAACATCGATAGCTCCTTAGCTTTGTTGTAATACCTGAAATTAAGGTTAAGAATTTTGTTAACTAACGCTCGCCCGCGATTTTGTCTTCAAGAAAATATCTCGCTTTACCTAGAATGCAATAGCATTGGATCATTTTACGACAGTCTGATCGTCCGTAGCTTAGAGGTTAAGCACTTGACTTATCTGTACATCATGGGTTCGAATTCCGGACATATATCAATGTTTTTCTACACATGTGTACATTTATCCGATGATACGGTGAAGGAAAACATCGTGATGTACATATCTGAGAAGAAATACAATGATATGTAGTCACTCCCTAGTCAAGACCTAGTTAACTTAGGGTAGGCTCCGAGCTTTTCTAGTATATTAGTAAACTAGCTGTCGCCCGCGCCTCCGTCTACGCGGAATTAAAAAAGAACATAATTAGTAACCAATGAGTTCCTCCAGACTATGTTCTATATGTATGACAAATTTCATCGAGATCCGTTCAGCTGTTCTGGAGATATCTTCAAACATCCATCCATGTAAACATTAGCATTTATAATATTAGTAAGATCAGATAGCAAAACTTACGTGTCATCAGACAGCATATGTTTCAATTCCTTCTCCAGTTCTGGTGCCATGTCTGGTGAGAAGTTGACCTTACGCGCGTACCCTGACCTCATCGCTCGGATAGCGTTCCCTGGCTGGTCTCCAAATACCGGGATTGCTAGTAGAGGTACACCGTACCTTAACGACTCTAATGTGCTCAGAAGACCTCCGTGTGTTATGAATAATTTCACATTAGGATGTGCTGTACAAAATAAATAAAAATGAAGACCAATCGTACAAAAATAAACATAAAAACATGACGACTTCAGTCGCAAAGCGACTTTTTCAATGTGAATAAAGGTTCGTATCCGTCGCCGACATCTATTTTTTATCAAAGACGCTCGCTTGTCAAGACGTGTCAAAAGTCGCTGCGATTTTCAAAATGGCGAAGTCTCCAGTTGACATGTCATTATAGGAATATAAAAAATGTACGTATTCAAAAACAAGACAGATTAACAAGGCCTATGACCACATCATCGCTTAAAGTCAGTTGGATTTGTGGTTTTTTGAAAACAAATATCCAGTAAATCACGTTCGTAGACGAGTCTTGTCTTTTAACTATTTGTATATCGATTCCTTTAAACATTATAAGTTAGAAATCTTTGGCACGAATGACTCGCTTTCATTACAAAGTGAAGTGTCCGAATGATTAGTGAGGGGACATAAACGTTGATATTTTAGTAAGGCTAGTGTTGTGCCAGTACACCGGCATTGTGTCGGATTTTCTTACTAACAATACTAACCTAAAATACTCGCTTGTGGCATCCAAGATCTAATGTGGACATTCTTAGGAAGACCTTCTAATTGTTCTTCAAATTTCCAAAGCACAGTATAAGGAATTGACCCAAGAACTCTTAAGAGCTCACGTTTTGTGCTATCCGGGAGTGCAGCGGACTTAATAACTGAACCCATACTAAAGTAGACTACACCATTGCGAGAAGAATCTAGAAGATCTTGCAAATCCTAGAAGGTGAACGTTGGATTTTAATTTTTGATGTTGATTATGCCTTACTCCGCACACGCTTAAGGTCCTTCTTAAACAAGGCAACGTGAATCTTTAAAAACGAAAATGGGACACACATGCAAGCAAAACCTTTCGTTAAAAAAGAATGAAAATCGTAGCACAAGTAAGTTAAGCGGTAATACATATAAAAAATACAGACGAATTGATAATTTACTTTTTAAAGTCTGTTAAAAACAATATCATAGAAATTCGTACATCGCATGCCGATACTTAATCTGTTAACGCCAAGTTGGATTCGCGTTGAAGCGATTCCATAACGAACTTTGAAAATGTATGAAACTGAGAAGGGACAATCATGTGACTTATCCAAAGTTATTATCAATCCTATACATCTTTGAAAGTCGTTATGGAATCGCTTAGGAGCGAATGCATTTTGTCTAGCCCCGACGATCATCATCAGCTCACTATACGTCCCCACCGAGGGGCTTGGAGTCTACCCTAAGTAAAAGGTGATTAGGCCATAGTCAACCACGCTGGCCAAGTGCGAGTTGACTTCACACATATCATTGAATTTCTTCTCAGATATGTGCAGCATCACGCAAAGATAATTTCGAGGATTTATGCCTTGTGTATGAAGGACCTTACGTCTATCTTAAGCCTTACCTTTGGTAATGTCGGTGTTGTCTCCTCAATATGATATCCAGCGATTTCAATCACATTGGGAGGCAGAGGCTGCGCAGGCGCAAATGACGAGTGAGAGTTTACTAACAAGATAGAGATATTGTGACGAGCCAGCGATAAAGGTGGTAGAGATACTCCGCGTGCTTTCGCAATTGATGAGAAATGCTTTTCATAATCACCTTCTGAGGTAGTACTCTCTAGCCTGGAAAAAATATGAAAATTCTAACTGTCGCCCGCGAATCTGTCTGCTTTGGATTAAAAAAAAACTTAATTAGTAGTCTATGTGTTCTTCCAGACTATGTTCTACATCTATTTCAAATTTCACCGAGATTCATGCAGCCGTTCTGGAGATATCTTCAAACAAACATACATCTATCCAAAAAATCGTATTTATATATATAAAAGAAAGTGGTGTTAGTTACACTATTTATAACTCAGGAACGGCTTTACTGATATGCCTGAAAATTGGTGAGGAGGTAGCTTAGAGCCAGGAGATGGACATAGGATACTACAATTATTCAATTTTTTTTCAAATTTAATCCTTGAAGAGCTGCCTTCTATTTAACTTATCTATATATTAAGTTTTTTTATATATCCACGCGGTCGGAGTCGCGGGTGACAGCTAGTATTACATAAGACTTCGTCTTGGTGAAATAAATTCTTGTTAAGCAAGTCTCTGGACGACCAGACTATGTTCTATATCTATACCTTTCATCCAGATTAATCCAGCCGTTCTGGAGATAGATTTTAACATTTTATTCTTACTAATATTATAAATGCGAATATTTGGATGTATGAATGGATTGGTGGATGGACGTTTGTTATAAAGCATCTCCAGAATGGCTGCATAGATCTCGCTAAAATTTGGAATATATGTAGAGCATAGTCTGCAAAAACACATCGGCTTATTAAGTTTTTTTGCTGATAGCTTAAAGCCATAAAGACTTCGCTATAAAATAACAACCAAATCGAATTCGGCCTCGTTTGAATTGACGAGTAATTGATCTTTACATCCCTAATTATGTTTTTATATATATTAATTTCTAAGTAACAAATCGTGTGTTAAAACCAGTAAGAGAGGAAATACGTACCAGTTCCCAAACATAAACATTCCAAAGCTGTAAGTATTTGCCAGACGATCCCATAAGTCCATTGGTACTGGAAAGTCGTTCATCATGAAGGGTGTGACAGGCAGACTACGGACAGAGTCCACCAAGTACTCCAAGTAAGGATGCATCACAACACCACTTAACAATATCCATGGAACTTGCTGGACTGCAGCATATCTGTACAATGAGATATCATCATCATCAGCTCACTATACGTGCCTACTAAAGCTCGGAGTGATGTGTCGAATTCTCTTCCGGATGGGAAGCATACCCACTAAACCTCTGTGTTCCTCATCATCATGGCGAGGCCACGGGCAAGCTTACGCTTTCGTCCGCGACCTCGCCTGCTCGGAGCCTACCCTAAGTTAACTAGGCAATAGTCAATGCTGACCCAGTGACTTCACAATTATCTTTGAATTTTTAAACAGATATGTGCAGCATCAAGATGTTTTCCTTTACCATAACATCGGATAAATGTATTTAAATTGTATGGAGATCCTTATCGGAATAAGAAATTAAAATCAAGTAATTATTGTTTTGTTGTAACAAGTTGAAACTTCCTGGAGTCTGGATATATTTACTATTATGGTTATTACAGAATTGTGTTTGTTAAATTTACTCAAGTTAATTCAACGTGGAACGGTTAATTTTTCTGTATAACTACATATATGTCTGATTATCCGAATGTTCCATTATCCAAATCGGTCTCAGTCTGCGTTCTACTAGAAATAACAAATTATCTTATTAATATTTCATATATAAATGTCTCTTACCCTGCTTCAACATCAGAGAAAAACCATTCAGTAACAACAGCATCAAACTTTTCATTAATCAAAACATCCCTTAGTTCAGACGTCTCCAATGCAGCGATGGATATATTTCTTGCGAACTCACGTACGAGGGATACACTCATTCTGCCTTGATTTGTTACGTCCATGCCTAAAAGAAATCATTATATACTCTAGCTGTCGCTCGTGACTTCGTCATCATCAGCTCACTATACATCCCCGCTGAAGGGCTCGGGGCCCTAAATCAAGGTTAACTAGGCATTAGTCAAACATGGCCCAGTGCAGTGACTTCACACATATTGAATTTCTTCTCAGATATGTGCAGCATCATGATGTTTTCCTTCACCGTAACGTCGGATAAATGTACATATGTAAATCGAAAAACACATTGGTACATGGCGGGATTCGATCCTGTAGATTGCAAGCAAGTGCCACCACTGAGCCACCGACGCTCACTGAATTCGTCAGCATAAAATTAAAAAGGAAACACAGGTACAGAAGACTTAATTTTAGTCCTCTTTCCCTTCCCATCCTTTTTCTTACAAGTAAAGGATGGGAAGTGAAAGTGGATTTTCCGGATGAGAGGATACATGAGAAGGGAAAATATTTTCTTTCTGTGCATCCTCTCCTCCGTCGACTAAGGTAGACAACGCATATGCAATTGTGTATGTCTATGGGCTGTCGCTTCGCTAGTTCAGTGATTTTAGTAAGCCGCTCGCTCGTTTGCCACCTTATGACAAATATATACAGGGTATGGGTAATAAAATAAATAAATGGCATTTTTTTAAAAACTTAAAAATTTTACACCTTCTGGGGCAATTTTGTAACCAATGACCTACAAATATTGCTACATTAAAAAAAAAGCTATTATGTTATCGTCAATAACCCTTTATCAATATGAAATAAAAAAAAAAACAATACAACTAACAAAGGTTTTAAAGAAAATTAAAATTGCCCCAGAAGGTGTTAAATTTTTAAGTTTTTAAAAAATGCCTTTTATTTTCTTTAATACCAAGAGGGGAATTTTTATTTTATTTTTCTGGTGACCCTTGTGACCACCCCTATCATCCCCCTTCCTATGTACCTAACCTTTTGGGACATCCTGTATATAAAAAAGAAGGCTATAACATGCCCTTTTGTATCAACTGCCTTCCCGTCCAAATCCCGTCAAAATCGGTCCAGCCATTCAGAATAATGCTGTAAAAATTATTTACCTTCTACTACGTCCCTAGATTTGGAAATTTCAATCTGCCTTAAGTTTTTATTATTAGATTTATCTAGGTACGCCGTCGCCCATGTTACCTAAAAATAATAAAACTACATTAATTTTTTGATCCTGCAGTTAATATTTTATACTAGATATACCCGCGAATAATTCCGCGCGGACGGAGTCGCGGGCGACAGCTAGTATAAAATAAAGATGAATTGACCTTTCTTACAATGATTAATTGAAATCCTCGAGATTGACTATATTGGACCTAATAATCGGTAAGCCGAACTACCCAAGGTGAAACACTCGATCGTTAGCCTGGGCTTTAGAATAAAGTCTCAAAAAACTATTATTTTTTTATAAATTACCTGATGGCCAGCTTCCAGTAATGTATTAACAATGCCTCTGCCTAGCGTAGCGTGACTTCGTGATGGTGCTGGCAAAATACAGAGTATCTTGTACGCGGAGATCGATGATATGGTTAGGAACATCCATAGTAGCACTGTGGTCTTCATTTTGACACTGAAATAACGATAAAAATATAAAATAACTAAACATAATTAGTAGCCAGTGTTCTTCCAGACTATTCTATATGAATGCCTGATTCCATCGACATCCATTTAACTGTTGTGGAGATACCTTCAAGCAAACATCCATCCATCCATGTAAATATTCGCATTTATAATATTAATAACATTATTAAGTACTTGAGGGTAATAAGGATTCAAATACACTAAAATATATTACAAACTAATAATTGATTCACAAGGCTCACGCTATACAATGCTTTAGCAACGACATCTAGTTACAGAATGAAAGAATATTAGGCAAATATCATTCAAGAAGTTCCTTGGAAAGCCGCTAGGTGGCGCTGTTCTTAATTTTTAAGTTGTTCCAAAGACGTGGCTTACTGACCAGAACATTTGTCCGTTTAATTATAAAAAAAAATACAGAGAGGAAGATGGCGCGGGAAATGTAAACAACGAAATGTGGTACCTAATAGAGTACGATGAAATTTATCAGGAAATTAGTTTTAATATAAGGATTAAAGTGATAAACGCATTTTTGCTGACGTGCTGCTATTAATTTATACTATTTCTTATGATTGCGACATAAAATTAATAATAATTTTGTGATAAGTAATTTTTACCTCGTCATTGTGAATACTAGAGATGACATAAATTTAAAAAAAAATTGTGAAATCACAACAAATATCTTGACGATCGGAAAAAGATAAAAATATAGATATTATACTTATCTATATTTTATTACATAAACGAGACTAAAAAAGCTTTACAATGATGACTTGCGTTATAGACAATCTAACTAGACGTCTCCTTACTCGTGTCACATTTCCGTGAGCTATACTAATATAGACTGGCTATATGACGTAATATATTGTGCCCATTTGATGCAGCCTTCTGTGCCAGTTTTGATATGTTATAATATTTAATACTTTTTTTATATCATAAGGTGGCAAACGAGCGAGCGGTCACCTGAAATCGCTGAAATAGCGAAGTGACCGTTGCCCATAGACATATGCAATTGCATATGCGTTGGCTAACTTTAATCGACGGAGGAGAGGATGCACAGAAAGAAAATATCTTCCCTTCCCATGCATCCTCTCATCCGGAAAGTCCACTTCAACTTCCCATCCTTTCCTTATAAGAAAAAGGGTGCGAAGGGAAAGAGGAATAAATTAGGCCTCCGGGACACACACTCATCAGACTGTACGCGGAATTGCTTCCACTTGAGGCGTGTCTTCTGTATGGTCGTGGTATTTCACCGGGCGAGCCGGGACAATTCGTGCGAAGATGTTAAAGTCGCTCTACCACTGTTAAAATACTTCTCGATATTCTCTTAGGTAAAGTAGTTATTATATGTTTTCCTTATTCAGAGATTCAATATATTTATACAGCGTGTCCTAAAATTCTTAAAATTCAAAAGTAAAACGGTACTCGTGTATACTCAGATCGATAACTACATGGCAAAAAATACAAAAAAAAAATTTTTTGGTTAAAAGTTACATTAACTTTTTAAACTTTTCTTATAATTTGAAACCCCTACACCATATGATTTGACACTGTGGCTATAAATATGAATATATTCCTGCAATTTTTTTCGTATTAGCTACCTAAGTAACATATAGCTCATAATTACAGTTAAAATTTTATTTAGGATAGTCTCCGAGCCCTCGATGGGGACGTATAGTGAGCTGATGAGCGAAAACTTTGGGACACGCTGTATAGTAACATATTACAAGTGATTATTTAAATTATAAACTGTCGTCAGGAAAATAAGTAACTACAATTTAACAAAAACATAAAACCTAATTGTGTTTCTCGTCGTGTGAATATCCTATTCACTGACCTCTATAAATGCACCGGCTATAAGACGTAATATTTTGTGCTTATTTAATTTTCGCCATTTTGGCACTGATAGCATTTTATGATATGTTTTCGAACTAATAATATAGATAGAATTAAATTTTTTTGGCTATGGTGGTGATTTATCATAATATTCCTTTTTTTGGGCTATTTACCCTCAAGGGTGCAAAATAACAATAGGGAATAAGGGATGAAAGTTTAGATAATATGTATCGTTGCATTGTGACCACAACAGAAGACAGGGGTCAAGTGGAAGTTATTGCGCGTACAGTCTGATGAGTGTGCGTCCCGGAGGCCTAATTTAGTCCTCTTTCCCTTCCCACCCTTTTTCTTATCAGAAAAAGATGGGAAATGGAAGTGGACTTTAAGGATGAGAGGATGCATGGAAATGGAAAATATTTTCTTTCTGTGCATCCTCTCCTCCGTCGATTAAAGGCAACGCATAAGCAATTGCGTATGTCTATGGGCTGTCGCTTCGCTATTTCAGCGATTTTAGGTGATCGCTCGCTTATTTGTTATGATATAAAAAAATGTTTAATTTTAAGTAAAATAATTAGCGAAAATAGTTAAAAAAGACGCGGGCAGAGCTAGTTTTACTATTAGAAAAGGTAGAAATGCTACCCAGTCGCTGTAAATTGCTATAAGAATTGCCATCATAAAGCTTGTATGGACGTCACAACATGACTTCGGTTTTTAATATAGTACTATAAAAAACTGGGCTCAAACCTGTTTTCTCTGATGTTTTTTAAGTATTATATACCTGTAATACGAGTAACCAAATCCAATATGAACTCATTATTGAATTTGGGAACAAAACTTTAGTAGTGCATTATAAATGCGAAAGTTACTTTGTCTGTTCACGCAAACTACTGAACTGTTTGAAATAAAATTTGGTACACAGGTAATGTAAAGCCTGGAGAAGGACATAAGCTACTTTTTAATGAGAAAAATTGGTTGTGAGGGGTTGAAAAAGTTGGAGATTTGTATGGAAGCATCGTGATTTTTACAGATAGAAGCCTGAAACTTATTTTTAGACTGTTAATTTGATATAAAATATGACATTTATTACGGTGAAGGAAAACATCGTGATGCTGCACATATCTGAGAAGTAATTCAAAAGATATGTGTGAAGTCAACCCGCACTCGTCCTGTGTTTGACTATGGCATAGTCAACTTTAACTTAGGGTAGGCTCCGAGCCCCTCGGTGGGGACGTATAGTGAGCTGATGATGATGAAAAATTTTACCTTCAAGGGTACAAAATAATAGGTTTGTTGAATGTTTGTTAGTTTAATATGTTTTGTTATGTACTTATAAGTGTTTAAATAAGTAGCTTAAATAATTAAAATGCTACCCAAAGATAGAATTTCACGCAAAGTCGCGGGCACAGCTTAATAAATAACCTAAAACACGCCCGCGTGTACCTTCCAGTCAAAGTTCCGTTAAAATCAGTCCAGCCGTTCCTGATTACACGGAACTCAGTCTCGCGGAGAGAAAAATGCACAACGAAACATGTTGTTTATTATTATTAATAAACTAAGCGAAAATTTTATTTTTTTGAAGACATAAACATGTAATTTAACGCATTAAAACTTAATGGAGAACAAAGCTATTTTAATAAAAAATCTATGCCTATCAAGTATGGTTGAATTTCGATCAATGGTCGACCACTAGTTTACTAACTAGCTGTCTGAGACTACGTCCGCGCGTTGTTAGAAAAAACTTAATAAGTAGACTATGTGTTCTTCCAGACTATGCCATATTTCATCAAGATCCGTTAAGCCGTTCTGGAGATACCTTCTAACAAACATCCATCTAAACATTCGCTTTTATAATATTAGTAAGATTCGATAAATATTTATTTAAAATATCAGTTGAGCGTCACGAGATTCTAATTCAAACAGTGACCTCGAACAAACACAATTGAACAAATGAAACTAATTATGAAAACAAGAAATAACGCCTTAAAAACCCGTATTTTAAATATAGAAAAATTATTAAAAAATAAACATATTACGGCCAGTTACATATTGACAAAATTAAAAGAAAAATATTAGAAAAAATCTTTAAACGTAGTTTATACGCATTTAATATATAAAATAAATTAAAATATAAGAGAATATAAATGATAAAATACTCACGATTATAACTTTTTAAAGTTCAACCAAAAAGTTTTTATTATTTTAAAACTTCGTTTCCGAACGCACCTCGTTTTGTAACACGAGGGCGACACAGACTGAATGTTGAGATAAACTCAATAGCAATTATGCAAGACGTAGTGATGCCAGTGTGAAAATTTTTACCCACCTTATTATAAAATTATTCATGCTGTCTCTATTTTTTTTAAAGAGAATGAATGAAACAATATATATATGACCCGGTGAAATTTACGGTTGAAATGTAAATATTTGACTAGTGTCTGTATGTGATATTTAAAAAAAATTAAATTTGCGAACGTGATGTATTTGCGTAGCTTACTACGAGAGGTAATTTTTTTTAATTTTTGTCTGTGTGTACGTCAGTCCACGTCAGAGTTATTTTTGCCTTATTTTTTCTCTTATTTTTTTCGGTCTTTGTAGTGTTAGGAAGAATATACAAATACGGCAGTGTATTGACCCAACAAAAAAAGTCGATGTTTGTTCCCTCACTATTCATTCTGACACTGGACTTTGTAACGAAAGCACGTCATTCGCGTCAAATGATTCTAATAATGTCAAAGTAATGGCAGGATTGGCAGACGAGAAAAAAATTGAATAATTAACTTTTAACACATCAGCGAAAAGGAAATATTGAATACAATGGCTGAAATAAAACCACGCAATATCGGTTACACAGACCAAAATATTTTAAATTTATTATCACTTAACCGATTACAAAAAGGAATAGGTACGTAATTTGTCTATGTTTCGTTGACTTTATAAATTGTTTTGTCAGTGTTCAGTATTAAATTTTACCTGAAATATCGGCAAAATCATCCACTACTGGTAACACCACCTATCTGTGTCAAACGACGTTATTATGTTGGAGAATTACACACAACTATTATATGACATTAAACGAATTATATGTTTTTAGTAGGAATATTTCAAAGGAACTTTAATAGTTGATTCATTGAAAACATTTTATTGCATACTAGCGATCTCCCGCGATTCCGTCCGCGCAGTAGAAAAACTTAATTAGTAGTCTATGTGTTCTTCCAGACTATGTTCTATATGCCAAATTTCATCGAGATCCATTCAGTTGTTCTGGAGATATCTTCAAACAAACATACATCTAAACATTCGCATTTATATTACAAAGATAAGATTAAGATTACAAATATTAAAATTGTGCTAGTTTGTAAAGTCTGATGAAATCGTTATTGTAATAAATACCTTATCGGCTTAAAGAACAAACAAACATTGATTTTTATTTATTCACCTTATCTTACTATCTTACTAATATTATAAATGCGAATGTTTAGATGGATGTTTGTTACAAGGTATATCCAGAACGGCTCATTAATAAAATTTGGTATAGATGTACAACATAATCTGGAAGAACGTATAGGCTAAGTTTATTAATTACGCTCGAATGGAGTCGCGGGCGATAGCCAGTGGTTAGATATAATTAGATTGAATACGGCAGATAACGCAAATTGTGACGTAAATGACCAGACATAGGGTTTTTATCTATATGTATAACTAACTGTCGCCCGCGACTCCGTCATAGTGGGTTTCAGTAAAACTTAATTAGTAGTCTATGTGCTCTTCCAGACTATGTCCTATATGTATGTCAAATTTCATTAAAATCCGTTCAGTCATTCTGGAGATATCTTCTAACAAACATACATCTAAACATTCGCATTTATAATATTAGTAAGACATTTTAGCTTTTGTTTCAGATGAATACGATAAAAATAAAAAATAAATCGAATTTGGGAAGGAAATATGACATTTGGATATTTTTGTAAAGCACAATAATGATACATACAAAAAAATAGTTTACGATTCAACGTCAGACTTTTATGAAAACTCCATCTATCATTTAAAATAAGAAATGGCAAGTCATTGCGAGACAGCAAATTTCTGTAAAGAGATAAAAATGCCCTGTCCACACCAATCCAGCTCAGTAGGCCAGTCGACCTACAACTGGATGGAGCCACAAAAGCCAAGCTGAGCTGGATTTGCGTGGACAGGGCATTATATTATTATTACGATAAATTATAAGGCAAATTAAATCTTAGAAACCCGATGATTTTAGTCTCTGTAGTGTGTCTTAAGATAGTTTAATTTGACAACTGATATGATGGAATTAATTTTGTTTAAGGATAAATGTTATACTTAACGGACGGTTGTCATAGTATCGGAGTGTACGTGAACAATGAACTATGAACTATCGAGTATCGGTCTTATAATATTAATCGAACAAATATGTATTATAACTTAGGTATTTTATATATTTTTGAATTTACTACAAATATTTGTCTATGTATTGCACAATTAATTAAAAAAAATGCATTTCTTTTTAGTTTATCCAACGAATTTTTAGTTCAATGTATTATTTCTCTATGTAGTTATGAAGGATAAAGTAGGAATAGAAAGAGACAGTTTTATTTATATTGTAATTCAAAAACAATAATTACGAAATCTCCATTGAAAGTTCTATCAGAATAACTAACGAAAATCTTAGAAATTCTTAATCGATTTTAATCAGCCCATATCTAATGAATTGTCAAATTAATTCTATCTTAAATAGACATACAATAGGTCAAGATCGTCGCGAGACACATATTTTATATGTTGAGTTGAAATCGCTACGCCTATACCGCTGACCTCTATAGACTGCCTAAAAGACTTTGAATTTCATAGATAAAAGAAACATTACGAGAAATGTTTATTATTATTTTTTTATAACGACTTAGGGTCCTTCAAGAAGCGAGCGTATCACCATCTCAGAGGCAACGCATCTGCGGTTACTCTGGTATTGCTGATGTCCATGGGAGTCGTTGAACACCTCGGTGTTTCCGCTGCTTGTTTACCCCCTTCTGTAATAAAAAAAAGAAGGGGCAAACGGACAGCGGGAACACCGAGGTGTTCAACGACTCCCATTGCCATCAGCAATACCAGAGGAACCGCAGATGCGTTGCCGGCCTTTGACATGGTAATAATTTACTACTTTGTATTAATATTTTTAACAGTGGTAGAGCGTGCTTTAACATCTTCGCACGAATCGGCTCGCCCGGTGAAATACCACGACCACACAGAAGACAGGTGTCAAGTGGAAGCAATTCCGCGTACAGTCTGATGAGTGTGCGTCCCGGAGGCCTTATATAGTCCTCTTTTCCTTCCCACCCTTTTTCGTATAAGGAAAGGATGGGAAGTGGACTTTCCGGATGAGAGGATGCATGGAAAGGGAAAATATTTTCTTTCTCTCCATCCTCTCCTCCGTCGATTAAAGGTAGGCAACGCATATGCAATTGCGTATGTCTATGGGCAACAGTCACTTCGCTATTTCAGCGATTTCAGGTGGCCGCTCGCTCGTTTGCCACCTTTTGATATATATATATATATATATATATCTACAGTTTTGTACGGAACACTCGGATCGCGAGTCCGACTTGACCGGATTTTATATCTTAAGGTGGCAAACGAACAAGCGAACATATTATTCTTGCTAACCGAGATAAATTTGTGTCGGGTATTCCATAAATACATCGTTTCCCCACCACGTATAAATAGTGATGTGCTTTTTGTATCCTGTTTACTAATATTAAACAGTTGCCGTTGACGTGTTGCCCGCGACTCTGTTTCTTTTACCATTCCAACAAAGCAGTGCTAGGATATGGTTTACGACAATAGTCCAATGGAGGGATTCGAACATTTCATTAGGTTATTGACCCTTTCGATACACACAAACGCAGACAGTATTTAAAAAAATATATATTTAGATTTTTTAAATTATTTTAACATTTGTTGGTTTCTAAGTAACATGGTTCATCATCATCATCAGCTCACTATACGTCCCCACTGAGGGGCTCGGAGCCTACCCTAAGTTAAGGGTGATTACGCCATAGTCAACCACGCTGACCAAGTGCGGGTTGACTTCACACATCTTTGAATTTCTTCTCAGATATGTGCATCATCACGATGTTTTCCTTTCTTAACATGGTTACATCACTAAAATGCGATTTAATTTTCTTGTATTCAACTCAGTCGTGTTATAACAGTATCAATGTCGGTCGTGTTTAAAAGGTTAAAAGTTTAAAGGTTAGACTTAAAATAGTCTTTATAAAATGTATATTTTTTTAGTGATTTTAATAAGTGAGTATTAGATTTTTATTTAAATATAGCGTCTATTTAAGATAGTTTAGTTTGACAACAGACGAATATGATAGAATCAATTTTGTATGAGGATAAATGTTGTACTTAATGGACGGTTGTCATAATATCGGAGTGTACGTGAACAACGAACTATGAACTATCGAGAATCGGTCTTATAATATTAATCGAACAAATAAGTAATATAACTTAGGTATTTTATTACTTTTTTATGTTTATATCTCGCACAATTAACTTAAAAAAAAACCTTAAAAATATTTCTTTTTGTTTGTCAATGTCAATTTTTGGTTTAATGTTTTATTTCTTTATATATATAATTCTTCTGTGAGTGTGTATGTCACTGAACTTCTCTCAAAGACTGGAGCGATTTTGATGAAATTTTTTGTGTGTGTTCAAGGGGATCTGGGAATGGTTTAGATTCACAATTTTCATCAAATATTAACTTCATATTAATTTATTCAAATTAAAGACGTGTAGACAGGACAACGTCTGTCGGGTCCGCTAGTTTCTTTATAAATTATGAAAGATAATAGTAGGAATAAAAAGATATAATTTATATCGTAATTCTATAACAACAATCATGAAATTTTCAATTGCAAGTTCTATGAGAAAAACCATCGTAAATTGTAAAAATTCTTAACAGATTTTCTTCTTCTTCTTCCAATGCTTCTCCATTACTGGAGGTTGGCCGTCAGCTCAGCGAACCCTTTCCTGTCCTGTGCTAAGCATTAACAGATTTTACTCAACCCATATCTAGTAAATTGTCAAACTAATATATCTTAAATAGACACAATATTTTTTTTAAAATATATTTATTTACGTCCTTATGTTTGATATAGTTTTATAATTTTACGTATATCCGTTAAATAACAATCTGAATCAATCAAATTGAATCGATTTATTGAAAAAGGGTTATAAAACCACTAAAGTGGGTACAAGGAAACCGAAAATGTGTGTTTTTTTTGTGACCATAATTACAAAGAACGAATCTGGTTTGAACTTAGTCGTTGACCTCTATACTTGAAACTTGTTTCAAGATAAGATTATACGTACTAGCTATAAACACGACTCCATCCGCGCTGTATTCAAAATAAACTTAATTAGTAGCCTATGTTTCTTCCAAACTATGTTCTACATCTTAAATTTCATCAGGATAAATGCAGTCATTTTGAAGATAACTTCAAACATCCATCTAAACATTCGCATTTATTATATTAGTAAAACAGTTGATATTTGGCACGT